AACCAGCTCTGCATCTGAGTCCTCGCTCAGCCGACCCGGTCGTGACAAATACTAAGAAAAAGCATCATGTGAACCAAATCAAAGGTCCGTTAAGAATGTTTTTGGAAATTGTCTTGAACCTGGAAAATCTCACTTGCAGAAAAACCGTTGAACCGATATGTTTATTTTCCAGACTCAGAGCTTGGGCAGAGAACTCAGTCACACAGGCAGTCAGCACCATAGGGAGAAAGGAATTTAACTGCATTTCTGTTTAAAAAAGCTCTGCGGGGATCCCTGTGAGTGGTGGAGAAGCGCTTTCATTAATGCAACATAATCGTGCAGCTCAATTAGCCGCACAACGTATGCAGCCTGAATTTCAAGGCCCCTAAAATCAGTTCACTGTTGTTTCTAATATCGGAGATTAATCTTTCAGGCTCTTTTTTTTGCCTACCACATCTGACTAGGTTCCGACTGTAGAATAAAAAGTTATTTGAAAGTACTCCAGCATTGCCGTGCATTGATAAGTTACAAAAGTTGGCCTCAAATTTTTAAAATCAGGGCTTGTGCCTACTTGTGTTTGTTCTCCTGATTTCGTAAAAGTAGAGCTGTGTCAAAAATAAAGGAGCCATACATAATCTGCTTGTTGTGTTTGTTTAGGAGCAGTTCTGTTTGGCCTCCTAAACAAATGTGCTTTGATTTATTAATGTAATTTATTCAAACAGCTCAATGAGCCCATGGAAACACAATTTTCATTCCTGCTGAAGAATTTATTGCTTTGCAGTCAGCTCACTTATTCATTTCACCTGCCCTTGGCACTGGTCGAATGGGCAGAAAATGTTCTCTAGCTGGAGATGCGTCTGATCTAAAATGTTACTGTGTTGTCAGACGCTGAGCCCATCTTTCTGATAGCTCCGCATTCGTTATGGCAAAGGCCTTCGTGGCTTCTCTGAACATTCTCCGCTATCACTCCTGTGTGGTTTTCACCTGCTTTGAGGTTTCTGATAATCTCCATTAAGTGTAGCGGGTTCTGCTCAAAAAGGTCTATGCCTTCAAAGTCACTTCTATGGGAGCAGAGCAGCCCTGTGCATCAGATCACAGCTATTTCAAAATCAGCATTAATACTATTACAAATCAAGCCCAACTCATCACTTGCATAATTCCATAAGCAGCGTGTAACTGAAGCCAAAATACACCGGTGAACGAGGCCTCCTGTTATATAACCGACAGATTAAGATGAAGGTTTAGTGTTGTTGAGACTGTGCAATTGCATAAACAAGGCAAAGCCTCTGTCACATTTTACACATGTATTTTTAGACTGTCTTTGGTGTTTGGCTACGCACATGCAGGATGTGCACTCGGGGTGGTCAGCAGCTGCCACTGCACGGCCGTGTGAGATGTACAGTGTCTGCCCCGTGAGAACAGCTGGGCTCTGTCAGGGTCATACCTTGCCCCCGAGTATTGTGGGTAATCTCTCTGAACTGAGTTTGCCACAGGCTCTGAGCCAACATGTCTGTGTCTGAGCCACAGTTCTGGCACTCTGGGCTAATCATGAGACGACAGCACCAAGCAGGAGACGGAAAAAGGAAAATCTGATATATACATTTGTATAAACGCGTATCATTCTGCTCCCTACAGCTCCTGTATTTTGTCCTGTGCACCATCGGCCTGGTACTTTCAGTGCTGGTCGTAGCGTTTGCTGGACACCACCACTCACAGGCCAGCAACTTCATCTGTCAGGAGGCAGCAGAGGACTGCGTGTGCGTGCTGGATCCGAGTGACCCAATAGCTCGCACTTTCCGATATGAGGACGTTAGCGACTGCGAGGCAATCACTGGAACCCTTCCATTCTACTTCCTGCTCCAGATATTCTTGAACCTGGCTCAAGCGCTGGTCTGCGCTGTGGGGGCGTTCATCATGTGGAAGCACCGCTACCAGGTCTTCTTCGCCGGTCTTCAGATTGGCTCTCCCTCCACCCAGCAGTGGCAAAAAGTCTAATAGTCTAACTTTTGCCATGCATTTTGGCGTGCCTTAGAATTCGTTCTGCTTTCTGTTCTGTACAGACAGGTGACCATTGAGGGGAAAAACAAACACCAAGGCTCTTAATAAGGCTTCTGGATCCTTTTACTGAAGGGTCAAAAAGATCAGTTTTCCCCCTTTTCGTCATCTTTCTGTATAATACATCAAATGTATGTGGTTCTTGTATAATAATGGCTCTTTGCACACATTTTGTATACCAAATAGTTAACTTTGTACTTGGAACTGTCAAATTTAAATACATGAAAATCCAATGGACAAATATTTTTGAAAAACAATCGTTTGTGTTTTACAATAAACTTTCTCAAAATGTTTCCAAATATTACGCCAATGTCTGTTATCGTGCCACTAAAACCAATATCTCTGATTTCTTTTTTTACTCTGAAAATCCACACATTGTTTATATGGTGCCTTTTGGATTTAGATTTATTGGGATCTTCATTGAAGTTTTAGGTACAGAATCACTGTGTTTTCGGGTTGTGATTTGCATATATTATAGAAATAAATTTGAAAAATGATTATACCTCAGGCCATCTTTTGATAATATAAATATATATTGTTTCATATCATTGTCCTCTCATATGATTTGCTAATATGAAATAATACTTACTTGCTTTGGAAAACTGTTTTTCTACTTGAAAAAAGTTAAATATTTATATCATAAAATGCAGCAGTTACACTCTATCCTGTCTCAGAGGTTTTGTAAGGCTAACTTTATTACATGCTTTATTAAGTTATGATAATAAAATCAAATTACTCCAAGTTTTTTTAAGCTTATGCTGTTTCCAGCTCATGTTGTTTCAAACAAGGAAAAAAAAAGACTAATCTATGAATGTACCATTTTAACTCCTGCTCGATTTGAAAATGATCGGGGATAAACAACAGCAAAGTCCATTTTAGTCTCAGACTATTCACACCACTTAAAGCTGATCTGGGCTTCAGTAATACAATCTGGACGGACTACGCTTCGGGACTGAAACCAGACTGAACCGAGCACTAACTTGTGAAGGTGGACACCAGCCCAGTGGCCAGCGGGACTCCATGAGCCTGTAGGAGTCAAACTACTGCAGCCACAAAGGGAGGGAGCAACAAGCTGGGGGGAGCAAAAGGGGGACTCAGACAGGCAGCTGGCAGCAATATGACCAAAACATTTCACCTCGGTCCAGCTGACTTATCTGCATGCAGACTGCACCGAGAAACAACGTCAAAATCAAGCTTTACATTAAAGAAAAGATGAGAGATAGCTTTCATTCTGTCAGTTTATGTGTGCAACAACAGGCCATGCTTGCCGAGCAGGCAACGTCAAAACATGATTTAGTTTCCACAGCAAATCCAGTGGAACATACACCCAAGAGTTAGAGCATATCCAGTGGAGTGAAATCTATTTTTATAAATGATGGATTAAAAAAACAACAACAAAGCATTGATTAATGATAACATGGAAATGACTTGTTTTTCAATGCAACGTTATTCGTCAATTTCCATTTCATTTCTTCAGAAGACTTTCATAATACATACTGTTACAAGACTCTGTTTTCCTCTTAATGTGAAAAAACATGAAATACTACGCTTAGTTGAGCTAATTCAATAAAAAAAGCATACAGCCAAAGAACTCATCTGATATATATTCTGTGTAAATTTTGGTACGGCCAGAATGTTACTGATATTGAAGGGTTACACATCTTATAAAAAATTCCTTTGGATACAAACAAGTATGGCGTTAACAAAAAAGAAGCCACACTTTACCATTTTCTATGATTTTAGACGGTAGTAAGATGGCAAATCTTTTTTCGTCCAGAGCCTGGCTGATCAATATCACTTTCTTTTTTTAACCTTTCAAGCCTGAAGTGACCAACAGGTCAACATGTCCAATTACACAAACTACTAGCATGTTTTGAACCGCTGAAGGACCCAATTTTTAATATTTCAACTTTCTTCAGAGGCTTGTATGTAAGCTGACAGTTCATTTAAGTTTTTAGAGGTGAATTCACACTTGGGCTATAAAGCAGTGTGAGACAAAGGCCAGACATCTATGCAATGAATTACCACATGCTTGTTTTGTCTGATGATGTCAAAGCATCATGTGACCAAAAAAGATGAAGCTCTCACTCAGACACAGGAAGTCACATGCCAGTCATCATGGGGGCATGTTTATTTATAAAGATGACAGTTGAGATGGCACACGTTCACCCTCCTCCACTCCGGCTTGCAGTGTGGACTATCTAAAAAAACGTTCTAAAGAAATGTCTGTAAGTCTCCAGGTGTAACTGAAGAGGATACGGGATTAATGGGTATACAAGCATGAATCACAACTTTTACTGCAGCTCGGAAACACTCAACTCTCACGCAGTCTTCTCCGGTTATGTTAGATGAATATGAAGTTCAACTTTGCGGAGCTCCCTGTGGGGTGTCTTTATGATTCCAGTGCTTTACAGTGGAGAATGCTAGTCAAGCTGCCACAGGCCACAGAGGTGCTTGTGTTTTTATCTTGTGTTTGTTGACCCTGTTGAGATATTTTCTCACTGAATACACAGAGAGTAGGCATGTGACTTTTGGCCAAAGATATTTCGAAAGGGGCCAAATGTGTCTGAGGTTGCGTTTATGAAGCGAATCATTCACTGCTCACGTGCATCTAAAAAAAGATCAGTGTACACAGAGGATAAAATGGAGCAGGCCATCTTGCTGATTAATAGTAATGAAATTCCTTTTGGAGGTTAAAGTTATCATACAGTTTAGTTTAAGAAGCAGTGCAGGCGGACACAGTTTTAGCACTATGATACTTTTGCTGCGCAGTAATGGGGGTCCTGATATTATCCTCTCCATCCCGTTCCCGGCTGAGTAAAATAAATTCCAGTAATGCTATGCTTTACCCCTCATGTCTATGCAGTGACAGCTGCTCGCCATTACGGCACTGCTAGAACTAATTTTAATGGCTGTCACCAGCAGCATGAGTAAATGCAGGCCTGCCAGCGTAAACAGTGAAGTGACGCCAAGACGGATAGTCCCCTCTCCAGTGGGTAAATGACAAGACAGGATGAAACATCAGTTTAGTTCCTGTGAACCATTTATAATCTCCAATAAGTAACAAGCACAAACATACAGATGATCAGCCAGCCTCGGTTCTGATTTGCCCACTGTGGCGAATTTCCAATATGGATGATATGACTGAACTCATCAATTACAATATTTCTGCCATTTCAGTTGCTTACTCAGACTGTCTGATCTGTTTTAACCGTTTATTTTCCATAAACTATTCCCTGTGAATTTAAGCTTTACATATCAACAACAGCAACTGCCTTTAATATCAAATTACTGTCCCTATTGCATCAGCTAGAGTTTTACCTTGTCTGGACTAATGCACTTTTCCCTGGACAAGTGAGTCTAAATTGACCAGTTTGCAGAGAGTGTGGTGCAGCAGAGGTTGAGATAAATGTGTGAATTAATTTAACCCCCTACCTCAGTAAGAAGAACGAAGATAAACTGTTTAAAAGCTCCTTACTCAAATACACAAATAAGAATTGTTAGGAATTTATTATTACATCTGAAAACATAAAACACATTTTCTAAACACTGTTTGGACATGAAGCCTCACAACAGTAACAATCAGGTGCATGCACTGTCAGTAATTTGTGCAACATGTCAGAAGTCAAAGAGAGAATGATGACAAAGACTTACATATAGAGAGACCTTTCCAGTAGAAGTTGATGATTTAAACAAGTTCAGTAAAAATGTCTGTATTAGTTGACACCTCTGTAGACAGTACATTATTATCTACCAATACTCAAGAAATTTCAAGTAAGATTTACATAGATGATCAATGCTTCTATTTACATTTCTGTTATTTATATCCTTGAGAAATCTTTAAAAAATGCAAATGAAGCAGGGTAGTAATTGCATATTTCAACTGAATAAAAAATATCTTAAAATAACAGCCCAAAAAACTAATGCTTCCAGGTACAGTGTGTACATTTTCCCTTTATTAAAAAAAAAAAGTGCAGTTACAGCCATTGCAATGTGCTGTTCACCGACTTAGGCAGCGTAAGGTTTTTCCAGAAGACAAAAGTAATACTGCAGTTAGCAAGTAATACTTTAGTAAGGCCAGAAATGTTCTTATAAATACATACGGAAATCTAAACGACAAATGGTAGAATGCTGGATGTTAGCATGCACTCTTCTTCTGGTGGCTTGTAGGCCAGTGGCTGGCCTCTGCAGGGTGGTGACCAGCTCCCTGACAGCACTGCACCGTAGGCCAACACAGGCTGTCCACAGACCTGACAGCATTTAACCATTAACCCTACCCTAACATTTCCCTGAACCTCTGTCTGGCGCACTAACACCACACTGGCAGACGGGAGCTGTGCATGGCCAATCATTCACAGAGGGAAGCATCTCTGTGCTCCTTGTGACTCATAAGGCACATTTACCCTCCAAAATGGGAGAGTTTTTTGTCATAGACGAAGCGTCTTGCCAGAAAAAAAAAAAGTGTCACCGTTTGCTGGATTCTAGCACTTCAGTATCAGGGATGGTTGGTGCGTGTTTATTGTTCTTAAGGCTGGAGTTTGTGGGTAAAGTCCCTCGGTAACTGGGCATCCTAACAGCCCTCAGAGTGCTGGGATTTGATGGCTGGGCTGGGGAGGACCCAGGAATCCGAGCCTCTGCTTGTTCTTCCTCTGCTCTGTCATCTGTGGAGGATGGAGAGAAAACAGTCAATCTGGAGTGTTGCAAACACATTTTATGAAAACCTGTGCTTGTATTAGAATAGCTCATATGGTCACTTTATCATCCAAAATACAATATTCCCACAGGCTCTTATGCAATTAAAATATTTCAGAGTCTTCTAGGAAAATGACTAAGTTCACTTTAAATGTGCTGAAACTTGCTTAAAAGACCTAAAATCTATCTTTTATGGATTACATTAATCATGTTTAATACATTCACAAAATATTTTGGTTGTAACATTTGTTGAATTTTTAATAATAGCAACAATCAACTGCAGCTTGTGTATGTTTTAGATTAATTTTTCAGCACTTGACTGATGCCAACAAATCATTTCCATAGTTGTACGCAAATAACATTTCTAAGAGCTGCTTATCCACTGGAAAGTAAAAAATGTCCCTAAGAAACCTGAGGACAGAGTCATGTGTGGGAGTGTTTGTGTGCAGAATGGTACACTGGACGTTGTGGGGAGGATGTTTCACGGTTTCAAACAACCATTGCATTTGCAGCGGTTTCATTACTGACGTCATAGCTGAGGTCCGCTGGTTCTGAAAACCATAAACTCTACTTGGAGATTTAAGGAAATCAAGTAGGCTGTGCAGAGCCAGCCACAACCAAACAGCTCCACACATACACAGCTGTGAATGTGTAAAGTGCTGAGGTCAGCAGAGAGAGCAGTGAGGTCAGGAGACGCAAAAGAACTTTCCTTCAAGTCAGAAACATTCACATTTGGGGTGAGACCTTCAGGCCTCTCCCTCATGGGAAGAGTGGTTTGGCCTTGCTTAGCTCTGCCTAACCACGTACGCACACACACACACACACACCCAAACACAAATACACACCTCTTGTGGTGAATGCTAAAATGTCTGTTTGCCATAAAGGTGGAGAAACATCTTTCCTCACCATATGACTCAGTGCAGACTGCAGTAAATCTGGATTAGAAAAAGACTTTCTGTATTAGCCCTAAAACGGATAAAAAGCTAATGGGTTGGTGCCTTTGCTTAAGGACGTTTCAGTAGCAAACACACACAGCGTGGTTGGAGGGGGCTATATGAGGGGTCCCAGCCGGCTGGAAGCCGTTAAAAGTTCTGCCGCTTGCCGAGGTCAGCAGAGGTTGTTGTTTTGTTTACTGGAGTGTGATCCACCCTCAGCGGGAGTTGTTTTTCGCACATCTGGCAGAAGGGGAACAAGGACAGGCCTGTGACTGGAATCACATGCAGGGGAGGCAGGTGATGAGAGTGATCAGTCACACTGTAGGAGCAGGGCTAGTCATCCAAACAGCCAGAGGCTCACAGGCGGCTCTCAGTCGTGTTTAGAGCTGACGTGATAGTCACCTGTCATGCTGCGTTCAGGAGCATTAAGGCTCTAGCAGAACTCTACCACATTACCGAGCTCACCAAAGAAAATAATGGAAAGATGACACTGCTGAATTGCCCCTTTCCTCTGATGGTCTTTTGAGGTAAACATAGCCTTAAGGTCAGGAGTTAATAAAAGAATTTTACTTTAGACTATCAGATTAGACTACAACAGCGTGATAATCTCTCCAAAGTGTTATTTTACCTGCTCTTTGAGCTCAGACAGCTGTCCAGAGAGCTGAGACACCAGCATCACAGTATTTTCCAGTTTCTCCTGCAGGGATCGCATCTCGTTCTGCTCGTTGTCTCCCTCACTGCTCACCAGCGATATGGCTCTCATCCGGGGGAACCAGTCCAAGTTCTTCTCCTACAGGAGCGAAGGGAGTGACAGAAAGAGCCAGGAGAACACCAAAGTTAATAACGCTCACTGAATAAATAACAAAAATGGCAGCTACAGTATAGCATGGTAGCACACTCATCGGACACTCGGGAATCCTGACCACGGGACAAAGCTGAACAGAGAGGTCGTGGCAAGTGGAGACGGGTGTGAAGGTTTAACAAGAATTCTCTGAATTAGCTGCTGGCTAGTTTGCACTTAACGGCGTGGATTCTTTTTAAAGCAACACAGCTGTCTCCTGGATACTGCAGATAGCAATAAACCACTAAATGATCAGTAAATGGCATTTCAATTCTCACCCACTCCATAAACACGCCGTTGATGTGGGTATGAGTCACTGTCGTCTATCAACGGCACGACTAGAGCTATGGTGTTACTTATAGGAAGGGTTGTGAAGGCTCACATGCAAAATCTTTGGCCTATTGTGTTTTCCTCGACAGTGCAGTGGACAGAGTTAACCATCTGAAGCCGTGCTCTGAGGAAAAGGTGGGCAAAACAAACCTATGGAATTATGTAATGAACTTTAGTGTGTCTGTGTTTGTACATGTGTGGGTGTGTGTACTGCTGGCACGCATCTGCATGGAAATGTTCCTAATGGACTATGAGCGAGTGTGTGTTTTAAAACACGGTCGCTCTTGTGCAAAGTGAGATAGGTTTCATAGAGATAGACACCCATCAGCTGATCTTATGTAATATCCCTTTGCCAGTTCTTCGGATAATAAATCACTTACAAGGTGCTGAGAGTGGGATTTGACTGGCACCAAGTAAGGTCCAGTGGGAGGGGTGAGAGAGGTATTCTCCCACCTTCTCTTATATAAGAATAGACTGCAGAGATGAGAGAGTGAGACACTGAAGATTGGAGGGAAAAAAATACAATATGTAAAAACATTTATTCTGAGAGTGGACAAGGACGTCGAGTATGTGAGGTATTTGTCTCGGTTTAATAAATAACTTTGTTGCACTTTGTAGAGGGAGACGTTTATCACCACTACATATCATGGAAAAATATTTACTCATTATTAAAAACAGATTGAAAATATGATTAAACACTAATCTACAATGACATGAAGCACTATTCTGAGGTTAGCAGCAAGTAATCATTTTGTGTTGAAAACTGAATTGAAAAACTCTGGAAATTGTCTTGAATTTGAGGTGGGTGCTCTTTATGGTTATTCCATATTAACTTAGAATGCATATTAAAACATTAAAGAACAGCAAAGTTGCTCCTCATTAGTGTTTTGAGGCAAAGAAATGGTTGAAGTAAATAACAGTGATCGGTATGATGCAACACGGTGAAAAGACTTGGGTCATATGACTAGGGATTCACGCTCATCCTTAACCAACAAACCCCAGCTCCAGAAAACATTATTCACTTTAAATTTTGAAAGTCATTTATTTGAATATTTAACATATAATTAGCATCTTAATAAATAACAGGTATGGAGGTCGAGATTGGTACGTCCATCAAAGACCCAGTCTTTGTAAGCTTCAATAGAAACTTCATAGCTCACAACTTTGTACCATATGGCATCAGAGAATAATTCTGTTAAATATTTCTCAGTGCAAAATTATAAAGAGCTTTAGTCCGTCTGAGTACAGTGCGAAATACTGTGAAAACCTTTCGTGAGTCTGCAAATATCTTAAGAGTGCTGGAACTACAGTGAGGGCATATCTCTGTTGGATGCAGGTGAACCATAAGCCCTCACAAGGCAAAGGACGGGCGTAAGCTCACCCTGGATGAACACAATAACAATAAAACCTGTGTTCAGGCCTGATGAGTCCATGTTACAGATAACTTTTGATTAAATCTGAACATGGGCTCTACATGAGAAAAGCTGCCTCAGAGCACTAAAAGTCCTATAGTGGTTAACCGAGGCAGATGATTTACAATAAATGAAATCGTAAATTTAACAGTGGTTGTGTTTGAAGGCACAAACGGACACAAAAATTGTGTAGCAGCGGACGTGGAATGGATGCTGGTGGAAGGTACTATTGATTTTTTTATTTATTTATTATTTTAACCTTCAGATGACTGATGTCCACGCCTATTTAAGCATCAACCGGGGTAACCATCTACACGATATGAGGCCGGCAGAATTAATGTTGCATGTGTGAGAGGGGAGTAATTTTATGTTAGGATGTAATATTATGATGGGAGTAAATACCCAGTAGTACATGCTATAAGGAAATTGGAAAAGAAAAACTGAGAATGAATATTAATGAGTAAATGACTTTCACATAAATAGATTTTTAAAAGAGAATGCGTAAAAGATCATTTATTATTACCATTTAAATAACAGATTTACTCTTATTTATTCATTTTCACTTACAGCTCTCATTCAGCTTTTAAATTTTCTCCCTCATCTTTAAACATGTTGGAAAATTTTTAAAAAGAGACACCTGTCAGTCCACAGCATCAGCATCATCAGTTTGCAGTCCTCATTTGTACTTAAAACATACCTGTAATTCACTCAGATTTCCAAGCAAAAGCAAAAAATTGTCCTTTACTTATTCATTTGCTTCCTTTTGAGTGCTTTCAACCCTTTAAACTCCTTTAATGACATGGGGAAAGGCTGTTAGACTGAGCTACTGAGAATGAATGAATGTCTGTTTATTAGGAGTTTCCCTGAAACATATGAAATGGGGGTAATTGGGGCCTTAAGCACCAGGGGGACAGTAAAAAAATGAATTTTCCTTTCTCACGATCTCAAAAACATAACGACAGCTCTGTGAGCTGAAAAACCTCCCTGGAGCTGCTTTAAGTCATCCATCACTGATTGATTATGCTCTCAAAGATGTGAATATACTTTTGACGTACAGTCAGTCATGTTGGTTAAGGCATCATCACCCAATTACAGAGATTAGGTTAAACTGTGACTGTGTAAAATGTGTTTCCCACCAGCATCTTGTTGCCTGTCATTTGACTGAACAGTCTTCCACTGTGTGAGTGAATCAGACTTTAGAGTTGCTTTACTGATTACTTCAAACTTATCCCTGAGCATAAATTGACACTTGAGTGCCATGCTGTAACACCAACGTTTTAAATGGAGTTCATGAAAATGTTATTTACCCTGCAATTCAAAGGGGTTTGATAGAAAAGTTTGGTGACCCCTGCACAAGGAAAACATGCAAACTCCACACAGAGAGCCCCAGACACTTTTCCAACCAGGAACCATCTTGCAACATCAGGGCTAACCATCCCCGAACAATTCTAAATGTCACCATTTAGAATTGGAGTGAGAACCTTTGCTTACAACAACAACAACAAAAAACACACCTGTGTTCAAAACACAAAGTAGGATCCAGTCAATGCCCCCATAATATCATTATAGAAAATATATTGTTTGAGCGTCAACACAAAATCAGCTCATCATACTAGAAACAACACAGGATCAATTCCTGAGATGCTCGATGTGGGGAAATATCCACAGTATACTCTTAAACATGCTTACATCGAGGTTCAGATACATCTGCAGTATGTTCGTTAAAGAGACATTTGCATATTCAGTTTACAGCTTTACCAATCAAGCAAATCTTTAATGGCCGATAAAATCACATAAAACATTCCTGAGTCGTTATTTAATTTTTATCCAGTTAAAATGTAAGAATTTGTCTGCTTGATGTTAATCATTACAGCAGATATTGTGTTACTTTGGAAACACGTATTATTCTTTCATTTTGGAAATAAAAAGATGAAGTAGGATCCGTGCAGCCCTGTTTAACATTATGAGCTGCAGTTCCTAGTGATCAAACTGCTGAGTGATGTTGTGGCACAGCACTTCCACTTAACAGGAACACACACAGGAAGAGTGGTGCGCGGATTGGAAATGACACAGCATACACAGGCCAACATGTTTGTTGCAAAGAAAACAGCTGTTTTTTTTGGGGGGGGGGGGAAGAAAGAAAAAAAAAGCAGAGGCCAACTTCTGATGGGTTAGAGTCTGAGTCCTGTTCTCACTTTATATCAAAACTAAAGGGCCTTCATCCACTTCGGCTGCTCCTGTTTTTATTACAGACAGCGTGTGACATGTGTGTTGTATGTTTAATGAAGGGTTCATGATGTGACAGTGACTGTGTCGGTGCGTGTGTGTGTGTGTGTGTGTGTGTGTGTGTGAGCAAGAGACAGACAGAGAAGGAGAGGGAAAGAGACAGGAAAGCACGTGCCAGGCAGGGCTGAGCTATTAGGAGGCCACTTGAGATGGGTTATGTAACAGCGCTGTGGCTGCTGCAGTACCTGCTAGGCCTGTAGTCGCTGTCATAATTTTACACACAAACACCCGCACAGTGACTCACATTCACATGCACCGCACAGACACTCAGTGTAACTTGAACGGACTCTTTTGCCTGGCACCACACCGCTTTAGCCAGCCCAACCAGAGGCAGTCTTTGTGAGTCAGGCACCGTGTGTGATATTGAGTGTGTGTGTGTGTCTGTTTGTGCGTGCATGTGTGTGTGTGATGTGTGTCTGCTTGAGTGAGTTCAAGGTCATCAGGTTCCTACTGTTTTCCAAAAATGGGGGGGAATAAGCGCTTGTATTTTAGCTATTGTAAGAATCCGCCTAAAGCTGCACAGAAAGAAAGTAATGGTGGGAGTTAACAGGTGAAGCCTTAAACAGAAGCTCCAAGTATTCAAACCTGACTATCACATCAAAGAATCCCCTGAGCTGCAGTGGAGGATAAAAAAAAGAAGCAATCTGTTGCAAACGCCAACATCAAAAGTTGTTATTTCTTTCCCAATGAGCTGCTCCCTTAAATCTCTCAGAATGAGGATAGTTTACCATTGGGCATGTGAGTAGGATTAGGATTATAGTGATGCACTTGCATTAAATTGTAATCACCTGAAACTCTACATCCCATATTTGTGGTGCAGTGCTCTAAAATTTATAGTCTGCATTCCAAAAAGATGAATCTGAGAAAATATTCCACAAAGTCCAATAAAGCAAAAAATAATAATAACTCGAGGGAGACTGAGAGCACTTTCTGTCAAGGCCAGTGACTTTATCCACACCAGAATTTAAAGGGGTTCTTCCATTGCCTATGCCCACGCCTTTACCAAGATTAATGTTTTTTTTCCTACTTTTGATTACAGAAAGCAAATGCAAGCGCTCGAGGAGGAAGGAGAACAAACCTAAACCAGTTCCTGCCAGATGCACTGATTACACTAACAGCCCCACTTGGCTGAAAAAAGTATACTGCATGAGCATCTTCTTTCAATCAGGGCATCATTCAAAAATACACACACATACAGGACAGTTTTTATTTGTCAAGATTTCACTGAGACAGCCTAAAGTGTTGACTGGCAGTCTGAACATGAACACGGGACACTCAAAGGCTTTAAAAGCTCTGCAGTCTGTCACTAATCACAGAAGTAAACCAAACACTGAGGCCTAAACGAGTTTGTTGCCTGTCTTAACACCCAAAGGATATGCTGTTATTTGAAAAGTGTGTAAAACTCTACATCTCATGAAGCACATGAGATGCTACCAATATATTAATATTCATTAATGTTTGTAATTCATATTATAAAACAGAGGTTGATGTGCAACTGTGAAGTTGTGCTGGGCCAGTAGTACAGGTGGAAACTATCTCTTCAAATCTGGGAGAAATATTTGGGCCGGAAGCAAAATGGACAGTTTTCATATCTTTACACAGCATCAAGGGCCCTTTTGTGTGTTTACAGCAATTGCTGGAATTCGGCAGAGTTGCACAAACAGGGCAGTTCATGGTTGTCCTTTTTTATTTCGCTATCTTTAGTTAAAGATATCTAAAGTTTTGTCACTTACATTTCAAGCTAAACTTCCTTAAACGCGGAGTAACGACTCAGTAAAACATTTGGTTATAACCAAAAGAACCACAAGCAGCGCGCATCATGAGACACGGGGAGTCATAAGCAACAGAAGAGAGAGGGTGTTTGTTACGACTTAATTGATTTCACGCATGATCTGACTTGAATAGTGACACGAAAAATAAAGCCTACTTTTAGTGTTTGAAAGAACTTTTCGAAAATCCACAAATCAACTCTTCTGGGGAGTTTTGGTCATTTTAAGAGACGCCAAGCCTTCTTCATTAATCAAGGCAGACTTGGGGTGAAAAGGCGCTCTGCTGTGCCGTCTATGACTTAAAAACTAAGGAAATAACTGTGACAAGCTAATTAATTCTACCTTTGAGCAACTTGACAACTCTCTACTGTGCCCTAATAAAGACTTTGTAATATCAGCTATTTATTCTATTTATATAAAACCCAAAGTCTGGTAGTTATTTTCAATCCTGCAGGTGTAGCTTGGCCACTAATGCATAATGGTGCTCGGCTTTCACTTCTCCATGACACTGCAAGTTGGTGAAATCCCAGCTACCATCAGAACCGTGTTATTTCTGTCTGAAGGTTTTTATCATCAATATAGAAACGCATTCACCAAAAAAATGGACAGGCACGGCACACGCAAACAAATAGTTATCTGTTACCATCCTATGTGGGTTTCTGCTCTGTAGCAAATTAGTAGGTGTTAAAATAAAATCCTGACTCATCATTAACTCATCACCCAGTAATTTCTTTTTTTTTGGGCCCGGCGTCAGAGAACTGAATCTGTTGGATATGCTGATGCATATTAATTGAATGTCTATCACCAGTTTGTGATGTAAATTGGTCTTTGTAATGCCACCATTCTCATGCCCATCACGATTGAATGTTAATCAAAAAATGTGCCAATGTGCTGCTAGGCTTGATTTGAATCCATTAACCGTGCAGGCGCACCTTCAGTTGCCCCTGCACCCTTCAAATTGTTGTCTGTGTCAGTGCAGCAACTTTGTGCAGAGATAATAATAATGCCAGACTGGGTTTCATTATTATTTAACCACCGTGTGTCCTAGCAGGTTAGGAGCTCATCATGATGAAGACTACTTGAGTACAGGGACCTGCCTCGTTTTTATGCCACTCCTCTGCAGCAGACCATCATATGTCTTTAGCACAACTTTAAATTTCCAGCTTCAGGATGCTGACCTACTCATGTGCATCTGTATGCTCATCTGGCATTTCCTGGGAGTGAAACATGAATCAGGATGGAAAATTGATTATATTTTCCTGTATATATTGATTAATAAATTGAGACTAGGAGCCACCTAAACGATGGTGGTGTTTGGTGTCTGATTTCCGAAATATAAAAAATGTGTGAGAATTAACTGTAACTGTATGCGCCATGATGGAGCGACAAACTGAATCACAAAGTCACAGAGTATTTTTTAGAGCAAAATGTAAATGAAGTGTACTAACCGTGATCATCTGTGCCACGTAGCTCTCAGGTCCGGTGTACTCTGTCCGATCCTTTGTTCTCACCAGAACCAGGAAGTACAGGTAGTGCCACATGTTGTGCTCAGATTTGATATGCTCCTCAAAGGACACAGTTTTGTTGTCAAATTTGTCTCTTTCCAAACCTGCAAGACATCAGCTTTATCAGACCAGAGGTCTTCCAAACACCCCATTTTATCCATCACCTGCTTTTACAAAATTGAACGCACCACAGATGAAACAGGTGGTTTTGAGAATCTCCTCCTTTCTCTGTTTTTCGCTCCTCAAATCAGCAAATGTGTCAATGATAACTCCAAAGATGAGATTGAGAACAATAATGATGACAATGAAGAAAAACAGTAGGTCGTAAACGACCCGGGCCGCAAAGAGAGGTTCCTGGATGGTCAGGTTAAAATAGATTGACAAAATAAAGGAAAAAAGTTGAACTTTTAAAGTATTCTTTCCCCCAACAAATACTCTGAAAGTTGAAAGGCAACACAAAAATCATTTCGTTTTCTAATTTCACAGTGATCTGACCTCTTTGGAGGGTCTCCTTAGAATATCGCCCACACCTCCTCCATTACGTAATCCCTGGTTTAGCACTGTGATTATACACATGAGCAGAGTGTCGCACACCCGCTCGATCCCATCATCTTCATCTAGAGAAAAAAGAAATACCATTTGAAAGCTGAAAAGAACAGACGACCAAAACTCCTTATTCCTTCATGAGACTTCTTTGTTTTCCTCTTTTAATCCCAAAACTATCAAATTCATTTTCATTTTCTTAATGAAAAATCTGACTAGATGTTTCAAGTCATTAGTCAGCATTTAAGTTGAATGAATATTATATGAAATTTAAGTTTTAAAATTCAGTGTGACCTAAAAAAAAAAAAACACTTATGAGTGACAGATGATGAAACCAGATTTCCTCCCTCAAATGTGTGAATAAACCGAAAAGTAGCATAAAAAAGCAGAAGCACCATTCACCGTGACTATATCCCCTATGCTATTTATGTGATGTGTGAAATGCACCGATACTGTAAATGAGAAAGCCACAGCAGGACCGCTGAGCAGGAAAAGGACTTAAGGATGTAGACACGATCACGTGTGTGCTCGTACAATGCAGGTGATGCATGGATCCAGGAGTGTGAGTCACCCCCTCTGCCTCATCAAGTTTCTTTGTGTGCGCACAGAGGTGTGTGTGTGAGGGTGTAACAGTGTATGGCAGTGTGTGGCTGGATCCTGTTGTGTGAGCAACCTTTCAAGGACTCGAGACTACGGAAAAAGGTCAAAATGACTACTGCAAAGGGTCACATACAGAACCACAGCGCCGATCAATCCACAAAGTCTCAAAACCTGCCTACTTAACAGGGATTTTCACAATGAGATTTTTTTTTTTAAAACACTTACCAAAATGTGATTGGGAAGTTGATGCAGGGCAGCCATCTTTCAAACATGTGTCTGCACCTTCACTATTAATATGTAAATCCCTTTTTCCTAAAAAAAAAAAAAAAAAGAAGAGAAAAAAATTTGGAAGCTTTACTTGTTGGTTAATGATAACAGATAAATGCCTCCCTTCATTGAAACAAGTTCTTACCACTAGTTCTGATCAGTGTGGGTAAAATGCGCAGAGAGACAAAAAAAAACAACAACTTATAGACAGACATTATGTAAACTAAAGCAGCAAGCTGCTGGGTGGGTGGTGAAGTGTTCCTGAAAAAAAAACCCTGAACAAATCGTTTGCACACAGGCAAAAAGCCCAGCAGGGGAGCCGAAGCCTTTAAGCGTGATCGGTTAAGGCAGGCTGGCTGAACGAGGCCTGCGCACACCTGAAGCGGGGTGTCAGCTTACAGCCCCCCCCCCACCCCACCCCGACCGTTACAGTGGGTAGGTCTGAGACAGGAGGAGCCTGAGGGGCGCGGTGCACAGGGTGCCCCTGAGTCCTGATGAAGCTCTGAACTCAGCGCTTTCCTAACGTACAGACAAGCGTGAGCGCAGCTGGTTATGTAACGCGGCACCGCTCCGCTGTGTCTACTGTGCTCTGTTCAGCAAAACACAGGATGGCGCGGCCACCAGGTTATGCAACAGGTGCACATGTGCAAGCAGGATGTCTCCTTGATTGTCAGTGCCAGAGCTCATTAACACACCCACACTCTCCACAGCGCCATCACAACATGTGTGCGGGGATGAATAAATAGTACACTGTACGTGCTCTGCATTTTTGCGTAAAGATTATACAGTCACAAAAAGATGGATTAGGCTGGTTCATGGAGAAGCTGTCAGTTCAAGAGGAGGTATGACCACAACTATAACAGGATGAAATAAAACTATCGCAATCTAATAAAACGGTTAAACCGATTCATTCTGAGCTTTAACATCCTTGAATAATAGCATTACTAGCCTGGACTATAAAATCTGATCCATTAACACTATCAGTCTGTATGTGCTGAATACTTAGGTTGAGGCTAGAAAGTCTTCGTGCACAGTATGTTCACAGGAAATGCGTACAAGCAAAAGTCAGAATCCAAATTTGACATGGACGTTAGATTTATGAGTTACTTGAATAATAGTTTTCTTCATGACAGAGATGTTGACCAGCTCAGAATTTGATCATGGGAGTCCATTAAAAAAGCTCAACGAGTGGAAAAAGAATAACAAATAAACAAACTCAAAAGCCTGACGAGTAGTGCGCTGCCCATTACAACACCTTTTGCTTCAAATGTCCCTTTTCAGTACACATCACTTTGAAGCCCCGTCTTCTCTGACTGATTAAGTAATTTGTATAATAAATAAATAAATAAATAAATAAATAAATTTTTCAAAAGGCAAGAATGCTAAATGTTCAAATTCAGTGGCATGACAAACAAGCTTTGCCAAGTACAGGTTACATTATAGTGTGTTTAGATAAGCAAAATCAGGAATGCACAAAAAGCTTTCGGGAACATGAGGAATATGTGATTTGAAGGAGAATCATTCCCTTTAAAAACTGCAGATATTTTACATCTACACTATAAAAACAACACATTGAATAAAATGGATAACTCCACCAGAATAATCTAAAGTCTGACCTGGCACAGGCAGTCGGTCCACCTCCATGCGGAAGTCATCCTTCAGGAAGAGAAAGCCAATGATGGAGAAGAAGTATACGAGAAAGATGGCGAGCAGAGCTGTCAAAAGGATGGAGCGGCCATTTCTCGTCACACTCTTGATTACGTTGAGCAGCGTTTCCTCACGGATGACCAAGTCAAACAACTACAAAGGGAGATCAAGGTCAGGGAGTTTGTAGTGATTTCAGAGGGTTCCTAAAGTGCAGTTTTACAAATTGATTCATCACAAAAAACGAAAATAGGACTTCTTACCAAAAAGCTATAGAAGAATTCATGAACAAAGAGGCCCAAAAGACAGACGATGGCATAAGCCAGGTGGTATATGAAAAGCATGTCCATCACAACTGCTTTGTAGCCTCGAGTGAAGGTTCCCTGGTTGCCGACAAAACTTACAAGAAAAACTAACTTGTTGAACAGCTGAAAAGAAAACAAAGCCCAATGAAATTAAAAGGAAGAGTAACAAGCTTCAATGTACATAGACCAACACACAAAACATGATTGTACTTACATTCACAGTACCAAGCAACAAGAGAGCGGGGGCCAGGCCCATAGTGTAGATGGCTCGCAAAATGAGGGAGACCAGGAAGAACGGGATGCCAAACAATTTAGGCAAAACAGGCAGCAATGCTGTGAAGACCCCAAACGCCACCCACAGGGAGATATTCCAGAAAGGCGACAAGGTTCCTGGGTAAAAGATGTTTTATAGATGAATTTAAACGATGTTTTGAAACGTGGTAGTTTCTATGATGAATTATTCACCTGAGCTAAGAGCTTAACTTAACGCACTATCAAAGTCAACACCTAAAAAATGTCAGACTCGAGTCCGCGGAGACGCTAGTGCTCAAAAAGACCATCTCCTCAACGCCTCGCAGCGTATTAGGATCTGTGAAGCTCGAGGTTTTAGAAAACTGCAACGCATTAAAAATTTATTTGCAAGACTAGTTTTTGCGGAGTTACCACAACAATTCAGTTCTCTGCAACATCCTATTTAAGTCTGACTTCACCAATGAAATCACAGCGCAACCATCTTTAGGGGTTCCTTTAATGGGCATGTGTCACAAATGAACCCCAAATTGAAGAGAAAAATATATTTGTTTAGATGCAGGTCTTAGCATACAACTCTATATTCATATAAAAGTCATTAAAAGCATAATGAATCATTCTGATCCTAAAGGGATAGGAGTAGAAGAATATAGATTTGTCAGGCCTTCAAAGTCTTTGGGGACACATTTAGCCAGTGGCAAAAATGTCCACAGCTCACAGAGCAGCGATGGCCGACACCTGCATGTGCTTTGCTGGACTAAATGTTTTCAACGCGTTGCCAGTTGTGCAAGGACATTAATAATTGATCTATTTTAAGTGTTTGCTGTGAAGATGAGCTACATAAATTCTTACCCTCATCTCCATCGTCACCAAAGGGGTAAAATACACCCACGGCAAGGTTGAGCAGACAGGCCAAATAAAAGGAGATGCTCCCCCAGAGAGAGATGTGCCGGGAGAACCAGAACAGAGCCTTATTTTCTGTGTAAAGAGAACTTTGTATCAATGCTGCCATTGGATTAACAGAACAAGACATTTCAAACAGCACTAATCATTTGGAGATATGCGAGTCGCTCCTGCTTTCCCCTGGACTCAGAATACGTGAACTCACTGCGTATCTTCTTTTGCCACCTCATCTCGTTGTAGAGATTGTCACACTGCTGGAAGAAGTCGTTCACTTTGCTGCCCTGGTCATCTCTCTCAGTGGTGGTGAACACACGCACTTTGGACTCCTCGGTGAGGTACTCGCAGATGTTCGGAACCGGGAACACGATCTGCTCCATGGTTCGATCGTGTCGCACAATCTGAGGAGAGGAATACATTTCCCTAAAAGACTTTGTTGATAGTACGGATAAATGGACAAAACGAGAGTGATGTTTACCTCTATCTGAGCGGTATGCTTGCCATAGTAATTAAGGGCTTTGTCCTTGTCCTCATCCAGCCCCGACCCAGGCTTAAGGCTTTGCTGCAAGAGCTTGTTTTGTCTTGCTAACTAAGAATCAAAAAAAGATGCCAGTTTACATACCGCAAACCATTACTCACGCAGTAATTTTTCATCCTAAAAAGTAAAAAAAACTGGACAGTGAGAGGTGATTGGATAGAATTATCTCTGGTTTTAGTTCAGATTTGAGTTTTGTTTAACTACCGTTTAAATAAAGTTTTACTTAACAAATATATATACATTACCTATGTATGATATATATATATATACACATTACCTATGTATGATATATATATAAATATATATCTCATTTAAATATTTTGCTATGTGTTAGACAGGGTTGATTCATTCTGGTACTGGAAACATTTAGCAAAGGCTCCTGAGGGGTAGAGGGAGAAACTGAGACATAATGGACCATATTCTCCATTGGTGAGAGCACTTTATGTAGCCGAGGGGAGCGTGGCCAAACAGAGGTCTGGCAGGTGGATGGCCATTATTGTGGTTGCAGCCCCTCAACACAGTGGTGGACAACCAAGATTAGAAAAGCTAAAAAAGCACTTTTAGAAAGCAAGGTAAGCCAGTGGGACAGAAACAGCTGGGGGGCAAATACAATGAGGTGTGGGCAGTTAGGGAAACAACAACATGTGTGTGGCAGGAGTTTAGTCTGGCTATGAAACATGACTTTTCAAAAGAAAAAAACATTTAATAAATCCACAGAGGAAATGTATTTTAATATCCCAATTGCTATTATTTTTAGCATTATTCATATAAAATAAATGGAGGTAAAAAGGGGGTTGCAGTAAAATGTGTTCTTTCATTCCATTAATTGCTTAATTGTTTTTCAGTGTTCTGCTAAAATCTACAAACAAATCCAACAAACAAAAAAAAAACTTGTCATTTTGAAACTAATCTTTGGGGCAGGCAAAAATACCCTGTCTGGCACTCAGCTGTAAAGAGGCAGAAGTGAAAACCCGCTAGACTCGGCTTGCCCTTTCCAACTTGCGTAAAAACAGTGTCACATCGCAAAAACTAAATTTAGAAAACTGTCAGAGCGGCTCAGTCGCAGAGGAGCAGTCTTCCATCATTTAATACTCCTGCAGCGAATGGCCCAGAGGTCGGCGGAGGGTCAGACAGAGGGGGAATCCACTAATGTGTGAGTCACAGACGGACACAGGTTTAGACATTTTTCTGTAACCTGGTGAGCCAAGATGTAAATGTTGTGTCCAACATCTCGGGGTTTGATTGGGTCCCCAACACTGTCTTCGTCCTCCCCTCTCTTCAGACTCTCGGCGTATGCTTCCTTCATAACATCCACCTGCGGCACCCAAGTTTTGACATGTCAGACTTATCAGACAAACGGGATCAAGACTTAACCTGTTTAATCTGCACAGACGCGGAGACACACGCTTACCAGTTCAGTGGGTCTCATCTTGTAGAGAATCTTCTCTGCATTCTCACTGTCATGGCGGCTCTCCATGATAGCCAACAGGAGCTTGGAGGCATTATTCTACAACAAAATAGGCCCCAGCTGTGAACTTTGATGTCATTATGACCGAGTTCAACATTTAAACAACCATTTACTTGCAGTCACTTGGGAAATGTTAGAAAATCCTCTTCCAAAAACTGGATTAATAAGTGGCTTGATTATTAAAGCAATATTTTTGCCACACAAGATTTAATTTGGTAATCTCGTCTTAAGTCTGAAGCACTTGGACACAAGATAATGAACAGCACACGACAAGTTCTGGCCACTGCACGAACAATGGCTGTGTGCTGTGGTAGCAAGCCGCTCAGGGACCTCAGAACCTGCTGCTTACCTTGAGCTCCAGCACCAGGTTCAGTCGATGCTTCCCCAGGGGGTTGATGGAGTTGACAATGAGGGCAATAATAATGTCAATCCCATTGGACTCATGCTTGGCTATACATGTCTGAAAGACAGCGAGAAAAATAAATTCTATGGAATTTAATTACTTTCGATCCATTAAAAAAAATGTATAAGTCAAATTTTAAATTTGACACCAGCAACAAGGCATGGGGGAGGGGTTAGATAACAGGGTGCCGTTCTGAAAGGTCACCAAGATGACTGAAAACACAAGAAGAGAGAGAAGTTCAATATTGCAGGGCCAGAAATGGGTAAAAGGGATGCATTTCTGCAAAACTCTGCATTTTCATTTTGGTGTCCGGTGTCTTTAGACCCTCAAGGTATTAAAAACAGACTAATATCATGTTTAAATCTCTGAATGGACAAAGGTGCAAACAAATATGTTATTGGTGAGAACACCAAGTTGCTGTATTCACAAGGGAAAGTTAAATCGCTGAAACACAAAGGAAAAAAAAGGGGGAAAAAAGTATCTCCTTTAAGCACAAGCACACTTATACTTCACTGAGGATAAAGCAAAACTGCATGATGGTCTGATGAAGAACAATTTTAAATTCTTTTGAAAATCATGAGGCGCTGCAGACTCCAGAATAAAGAGCAGAGGCTTACTAGCAGTTTAAAGTCTAAAAGCATGCATCCATGGTTAAATCAGGCTATGATAAGGCATGCGGTACGGATGATCCGCAAAATGTTGGAGGCTTAATTAATACCGAATTATGTATACATATAAAGCGACGTGTGGCCCGTTTGAGGAAGACCATGTAAAAAGGCATTCTGCTCATTTCATCCTATAATAGCATCTGGTGCATCATGAAACAAAGATGTACAACAGACGTTTTCTAATGTGGAATTATCTAGGAAAAAGTAGGACTCTGAGCATAAATCAGTAGGACACCCACCTGGTTTTCATGGCAGGGGCCTTGGCAGTATTCTGTGATGGTTTCCAGGGTCTGGCGCACCAGATCCACATTACTCTCATTTATATAAAGACCCAACAGCCCGAGTCCTCCAGTCGTGCTCCCACAAATGCAGTCCAAGAACTGAAGAGTCTCACACACTAGATTATAGTTAGTCTTGTTGTTCTGACAGCGCAGAAAGTTCTGGAAAAAAGAAAAGAAAAGATCCCTGTGCAATCAGCAAGCAGCGTGTGAATGAGCGGACATCAGGTAGATGTTGAAGTGCCTAAACACCTGGAGGTCTGAATTGTGGTTTTCACAGAGCAGTTGGAGGTAGCGTAGGATGGGTTTCATGATTGTAATGGTGGGGCTCATTGGGGCTACTTCCTCATCTTCTTCGGCCCAAGTAGTCTCATTGGTCTGCCCGAGGCCTTCGATGTCAGGGTCCACTTCCTTCCTGAAGGCAGAATAGGCCTTAGAAGTCACTGAGGAGGCTTCCCTCAGCTGCCCTCGCATGTCCTCCCTCATGTGAAGCCCAGAGTCTTTCCCTACAAACCAGAAAGGAGAGGATTCAAAACGATATAAAACTGCTACTGTTTAATCAATGGTTAGTATCATAACTGTGGCAGATGGGAACAACTTCAAGCAACATGAGACGGGAAATAATGTTTTGATAGTACTGGTCAATAGAAATTCATAGTCATAACAAAAGCAATGAGTGAAATTCAGACGGACTATTTTGACAAGTGGGCCACCACAGAGTGGGGTTCTGTAGAAGCAACTCCCAGCCCTGATACAATGGCCTTTTGATAAGCTTGTGATGCGGGTCGTCACATGGCCCCTGACATGTGACGGCAAACACTGGGAACAACAGTCTGTCAGCAGTGCAACAAAGATCTGTGTGGATTTACCCACCAGTGCCGTTTTAAACCTGAGGCCGAGCTGAACTTCCAGACCTCACACAACGTAAAAAAGCAGATTTGATTTTGAGGCTTTTAACTTGCTCCAGCTGTTTCTATGGTAATTCTCGGCTGGGCCAGGACTGCAACGTGCTGTCCAGCACGCCTTGCTATGTTACTTCCAAATGCACATCTTCCTTATTGATCTTGAATATTGCAGACTTGATTCAGTTAAAATCAACTTTCATTACTTAATCGCAGCCTCTTTTTGGCACAGTAATTCAATGCACACTCCACACAGCAGAATGAACAAATGTTGTTCAGTTAATCTCTGGCCTTGTGCCAAGGAGCCACACTGAGCTACTTCAAAATCAAATAAGAATGACAGAGAAATGTTCGAATGCGACATAAATCTGTGGTAGTACCTTTTCTTAACCTGGTGCCAGTGACATCACCGTCCTCATCCGATTTTCTGCAGCTGAGTTCAGACATGTTGACGGACACAGTGGCTCGAATTTCTTGCTGGGCCAAGCGCATGCGGTCATACAAAACCTTGAAGAACCTTTCTGACTTCTTCTGCTTGTACAACTGACTGTAGAAAGAATTCTGAATGGGAGGCACAGAGAAAAATGAGGACACATTCCCAGCACTGGGAGGATGAATGGAAGGATACGAGCATCTGTGGAGCCCACCTGTATCCGCGTGTTTCCGCCTTGCAGAAGGGCAATACCCAGCAAGATGCTCTCCTCAAACACCCGGTCGTTCTTTGTGTTCACAATGAGGTCAATCACCAGCTCTGAAGCCCCAACGTTGTCCAGGAGACACTGGATCTCCACCATGCTGCTGCCTGGCTTGTCAGAGTCCAGGATGGCAGAACCTTCAAGAGCAATTTAAAAGAAGGATTTAAAACATAAGAATCCAAAACAAATGCAAGTATTTTTTTATTTATCTTTAACACAACTCAGCTATTTGAAACCGATACTTGCAAAAAATTTTGCAGCAGAAAAATTTTTGAGAGAGAATTACGTCAACCGATTTCCAAAGACAAAGAAAATGAACATACTACAAACTTTTAGGGAAAGTTTTTCAATGATTTTTGTCTAGAAAAAAATAGACAAAGGGCATAAAGCTAAAGTTTTAGGACCATCTGAGACTGAAACCTTATTTGAGCTGTGATTTACTTTTAATTTGAAGTTGTATGGGTAAAATCTTCTCAATGAATCTTCACATCACACAGTCTTAACAAAAAAACGAAGAAAGCTTCTACAGAAGAATATGAATCCTAAACGCACATTGGAATCCATGTACAGGGGTACATAATGAAGGTTTCATTGTGGTAATATTCAAGTCGTGTTGATATATTCTAAAAGGGCAGCGCCTGCGAGACTAAAGAGCCTTTGCAAAGTAGAGAGAAAATCCTCCAAACCAGAATGAAAGGATTCTTATCTGGGCAAATACCCATTATGCAGGGAACTCCTTATTTTGCCTAGTGGCCTTTTAAAAACATGAAAAAATGAACAAAAAAACAGAAAAAAACTGTGTAATCTTGCGTGATATATTAAAGAGAAATTTCATCATTCATTTTATACATTACAGAGGTCAGGTTATATTTTACTTGACTTAATAGTCCACAGTAATTGGACAGTTTAAACAGCAATGCCTGAACTTTTATGCTTTACGTTGTAATTCAGGAATAGCCTTCACTAGAACAATTTGCCAACAACTGCCAAACAGCCCATCTCACTGGAAGCAGACCGCGGTCATGTCAGCTTCTTTTGCTGCCTCTGCAGTGAGCAGTTATTGTAGTGTATGAGTTTAGATGAGGTTTTCAGTACCTCCAGATGACGGCTTAACAAAGCCACCAGACGAGATGTTTCCACTGCCAAGCTCCGACTTGGAGGGAGGCTTTTGATTTCCAAAGTAGCGTGTGAGAAGAATCTTTCTCAAATCCTTTCCCTGTGGACACAGGAATCATAACATTAACTCAAAATAACAGTCTAACACGGCAGCCGATTTTAAGAAGAAAATGTCCAGTTCTAATAATCTGAGTAGCAGTTTTTGGTGAGCTGAAATGGAATGTTACTACCTCAAAACACAACAAAAGGGAATGCTTATGATGAGATGTACACCTTTAATGAAATCCACCCTATCCAAGCTGAATTGTAAGACCACATTTCAGCCCATTGTCCTATTGAGAATTATTTCTATCTTAGTGGAATTAATGGCTTGCAGCATGATGCTAATCAAAGAAGCTGGACTTTGAGAAAGGGCAACAATTTTGACATGGCAGCTTAGACATGCTTAGGCAAAACTCTAATATAGTAATACACTTGAAATCCTTAGATGTAGACGTTTATATTAGTTTAATGTAGATGAAATCATGAAAGCCCACATTATGACCTCTCCATATGATAAAACATACATGCAGGGCAACACAGAACGCATCCATCTGTGTGTGGCAGATGTATATAATATATGCAGGAAATGAAGCAAAGGACATAATCAGCCAGTCTCAACAAAATCAACTTGTTTATTCCAGAAAGGGCATTTATTTTCTTTCTATCTGTAATAAACATCTTGGTGCATCTCCTGTGACATTTAGAGCAGATGAGCAGAAATGAGATAGAAAAGAATCGCGGAGATAATCTCTGCTCAGTGGTTGTCCAATCAGGGCGAGTGATTGACAGTAGATGACTTGCATTGTGATTGTCCCCATGGATGACTAGAATGTAAAGACTGTGCAACCCCAGAAAGTTGGTCAGCATTCGTTTCTATGGTAACACGACTCAAACGGGGTTGTTTTAATTACACTTCATCACCATTACTGATCAATACACTGGATAGATGACGCAAGAGAAGATTGATAAATTGACCAATAAGAGGTGAAATTAAATTGTGACGAAGGCATCACTTAGGGTTTCTATGGAAACAAGTTGGCACTGGATGACAGTTATGGGGTCTTAACTAAAATGTAAAATTTCTGACTCAAAAATATATATTTGTTTGCAATGAACTGCACAAAAGTGCCACAAACCTAATACAAGCAGATAGGAATGGATACAGTTTAAAAAAGCGGTAATGTGAACTGATGAGTGAAATTGATCAAAACTAAAAAGTTCGTCTTCGATCAGTTATTCATTTGTTCCATAATTTTTCACTGAGAGCCTTTGCAGCTAATGCACCAGCAACTCCGCAACAAATATTTAGCCTCTTGGCATGTTCCCTTTTAATGAGTTGCATACCTTAAATGAAGGCTAACAGGTAGAGCAAACTGCCATCAGCCTTTATGTGGCTTACTTGTGCAGCGACATATTAATTAGAAAAGTTCCCAGCAGAGCAAACTGCAGGACTGGTGTTGCAGAAGTCCCAGCTAAAATACATTGTTGTTACAGGTTAACAGGGATAATTATGCACTCCGTGTCTAAACACGTCGGTAGTTCTCACACAGTGCGGCTACAAATCCTCAAACTCAGAGTACTGAAGAGCAAAGATGTAGAAGAGCATGTGTAGCTGATGATCCCTGTGTCAGTAAACACTTCATCTCATCTGCAGTCAGCAGAGACACTTGTCTGCCTGCACTGTCTGGCAGAGATTCTGCCTCACAAACACACACACACACACACACACGCACACACAGGCACATTTTTCTTAACTGAAGGTGATGATCCATTGAGCAAAATTTCTCTTATTTCCACCGAGACACACTCTCAATGTGACTACACACCCTGTGCTACACTCTGTGAAGCACCAGATTGAATTAAGTTTGACTTAACATTTCCCCATTTTTAGACCGAGGACATGTTAGGTTTGCCACTCTGGAGCAAGAAGTAAAAGAAAAGGGCTGGGGTGACAGACTTTTTCCTTGTTTGCTTCCCCCTCTGGGCGATGCAGTATGCTGGCAACAACTGCAGAGAGAGGGAGGAGAGAGAAGACGGGATGGCTGGAGAGGAGAGCAAGCCCAGCCTGACTCATCTGCTCGGTGCTGCATTGACGAGAAAAACTCCGGTCAGGTGATGCAAGAGCCACGAGAAAGAAGGGAAGCTGGAAACAGCTGAAGAAGAACTGAGAGAAAACAGAGAAAAAAGAGGGGGCGAGGAGAGGAACAAATACGGTCTAGCAGGGAGCAGGCGGTCGTGATGATTTAAAATGTGCATTGGCACGCCACACTGCGGCTCTGTTGTCCAGTCTGAGCTGCCTGTCCCCCACCGTTTCCCCACACCCCCTTTCTCCCTTCCCTCCTCTGGACCTTTGCTGTCTCTACGAATCTGGAGAAAAGACCGATACCTGTGCAATATTTCAGACCACCTTAAGAAGCCCGGGGTGCACACAGCAGCTTGGTCTTTTTATCCAGACGGCAGTATCACTTGAACTGCTCAATTCAAATAAAGTTGGACGTGGGCCATGCCACAAAGAAGCCCAGTGTCTTCCGTCCAAGTTTAAGAGTTCGAGATTGGAGGGAGGTTATTCTTGATTTTTCAAAAACCTTTTACTTCAAAAGAAACCTCTGAGTTAGTCTTGGAAAAGATGACATTGTGGTACTGGACCATATACAGGCCATGCTATTCCAGCTTCTTCAATAAGACAAAGTAACATATCAGCACATATTTCAGTCTTTAAATATCATATCATGTGCTCACTGTATCAAAATAAAATCTAACTGGAATCCAATCAGAGTGTGAATTGCATTAAATTATTCTATGTTCTATTAAAATGTTTATTTGTCTAAGCATCAAATTGGAGGGAAAATAAAAAGCTTGAGAGCAAATTTGTAATATTACATATTAAAGATTCAGTTCAAGAATTGCACTAAAATACACTTACGACATCATCTTATGTTTTGATATTTTGTACATGAATGGATTGGGGGGGACAACGTTTTCACCTCGTTCCATCCTTCCTGAGTAAAGATTAAAGCAGGTGCACTTGTTGTGGCACCAGACGAGACACAAAACCTGTTTTATTCTATGTCAGAACATTGAATAAAAGTGCAACACAGGCATGCCGTCTGAAAGTACACGCTGGGCGGCACTGTGTCAGCTTTGTTTAATTCAGTGTGAATGAGCTAAATTTGCTAACAACTGGGTTTTGTTTTAAAGAACTGAGCAGCGATGACACTCAGAATTGCGCCACCCATAACTGTTCTGGGAATTTGTTTAATATGTTGTACAATGATCTTAGTAAACTAATATTCTCGTGATTAACTTTGGTCCAATGCTCAGTTTCTTAAAGTTATTATCAGATGGGCTGTTTTCTTCATCTCACTACTTAATGTAATTAAATTTCTCTTTTCTTAGGTAGGATATGCACGGCCAAAGGTTAACAAATGGTATGTGCATCTGATCAAATCCTAGAAGAGTGAAACAAACATCACGAGCTACTATTTTACAACATTTTCAAGCCGCAGTTCCACAGCACATGAAATGATTTTATCCAACAAACAAGCACATCAGCAAAACAAATTAAGCCCACATGTGAGAGCAATTGGGGAGACCGATTCAGGGAAATACATGACCAAAAGCGTAAACAAGTATTCAGTAAAAGGTTAACCTGTGGGTTCACTGTGGAAGTGTTATTAACTTACGTTGTTAAGCCCCAGTTACCTTTATCACGAAGCTATAATACTGGAAGTGGGTTGTTTCGCAAGTGGGACATGTTTGTCTTTTTGTGCTATGCTGGCACTTAAATAATTAACACCAATTGGAAATAATAAAGGAAACAGATTAAAAATATCCTTATAGAAGATTGATGTTTTTCTCACAAAATCTCTTTTGATACTTTTAATTGACAGATCAATTAGATTGTTGAGTGTGGTTGTGTGCATAACACTCAGCAGGAATGTACATCAGCAGTAACAGAAGCCAGAAAAATAGTAGACTCTGAAAATGTTTGCACTCCTATGTTAGCATTTAGCTAAATCAACCTTTTGCACGTATACAGCCGTGCTCTTGCCATGCTCCTTTGACGTGTCCAGTCCAAACGATGGCCTTTCTGAACTTTGTGGTATAAAACTGAGCTGAAGTTTCTGGTAGAGACGTTACCATATAAAGAACGATGACTCAACTATGGTGATCTGCACAACAGCTGCCTCTAGTCGACACTTGTGACCACAGTCAGTGGTCTGGATGTGAAGAAAGCATCAAGATGATTTCCATTCAGCTCTAATGCTCTTGGTTCTTTTGCATTATCACGTAAAGGTGTGACTGTTTTTGTCCGACCAGATGCTTTAGCAATTAGTCAGAACACAAATTACCATTCATACTCATTCAAACTTGGTCATGTGCCCCCCCTGAGCACAAGTGGTCAAACTTCCACTAAATCTGATTCAAATAACACACTATGAACTGTGTCGAAACACTGTTGGCCTACAATGACAATTAATCTCATTCATAATTGTCTCCGGGTGTATTAAGATCCGAACTAAAAGTCCCTAAAGGTTTTAACACACCCACTAAATGGAACTGCAAGAAAACATTAGATTTTAATGTTGCTTAAACTTTTTTTTTTTCTTTTTTGAGTTTCTTCTTTGAGGGGAACTTTGCAGAAGAAGAACCCTGTTTGATTTGTAAGGTATTTTTACACAGGATACACAGACCTCCTGTGCCCAGTCTCGGCCAAACCGGACACACAACATGTGCTAATCCCTTATCACCATGGAAACCAAAGCATAATACTCCCCTAACAGACACCTGACTGATAGATCAGGGGAAATGAGTGCAAGGGGTAAAAAGGCACTGCCTTTTCAGCATAAATTTAGACAGTAAACTTATTCTCTTTGACAAACAGATTGCTACACAACTTCAATATCTTATGCTGCATAGTTTCCAATCTTATAAATCATGCATGTTTCAAATGTAACTTTTTAAAAACAATGGTGTGATAGCCTGCAAAAGATTCCCATAAAAACACGTTTCCTTGGATTCCCAAACAAAGGAATTCCCTACAGGATGAGTTCTCAGGAAGGCATGGCACGGCATGCTTAGGATCATGTGTATCTCTGTCTGACCAAGGCTTACATATGCATGCTATATGCATGTGTGTGATGCACTTAGCATCAAGAGGGTGGTAATCTGTAAATCTGCTTTGCCTTGGGCAGGTGGTGTGAAACTTGGCAACCAAGGAAGACAGACAGATGGACGGAGATGGCGTGTGAATGACAGGAATGAGTGTGAAAGAGAGCGGGGAAAATGAAGCCCAGTGCAGAGCATGTTACATAACTTTTTTTTCTTCAGTCCTATGTAAACAAGAGGTGTAGCCTACATATGACGGCACATGATATACAAAAACGAACACTGTAAAAACAAACATTTGATTTTGTGTTATGGGATAAAAACACTTTCTTATTGTTAACAAATCCTAAGAAAGAGCCAAATGTTACCTGATCTTATATGTATGTTTACTTAATGTCAGCCATTACTACACAAAAAGGTAATAAGGAAACAAAAACAAAATACAAATATTTACCAGAGAACTGGACTGAATGTTATAATTCATTAAAAAAAAGTGTGTACTGTAGTCTACTATAACTTTATAAGATGATGCATTTTCACCTGAAAGATAGCTTAAAGTTCAAGCATTTCAACTCAGCAGCTGGAAGAACAAACTCTGAAAACCCGGGACTCCAAGTGTAAAAGACACATATAGAATTATATATACAGTATAATATATCCAAAGACCTGACTGCTTCTGAAATGCTAAAGTTCATTAGACATTATTTCAAGTCTATGCACCACGATCCTTCCTAATGCAAATATCTGCACAGACATTTATAGAGCAGCCATTATGACCAAAACAAGTGCTGCTCATCTGCATGAGCCAACACATCTGTGTTGTGACTGCTAATATTCCCTTTATTTCCGAACCTGTGCTTCTGCCATGCTGTGGGCAAACGCAGGTCAGGGTCTGGGAGGGACTAGACGGGAGCGACATGGCCAGAATAAGCTGGGTGTGCAGGCAGAACGCAATAGACTGAGACAAAGCGAGGGAGAGAGCAGAGGAGGAGGCGAGCGCGAACAGAGGAGTGAGTATGGAGGGAGGGGGAACGTGATGGTCCACGTGACAATGGCTCAGCCACTGCAGGCTGTTACGTAAGCGCACCCCCTGCCCTGTCTCCTCATGGACTGAGCAGACTCTGCTTCTCTCCAATCCCTCACTCTGCAGACGCTGCCCACTTTTTTTTTCCCCTCTCCCTCACATGGCTCCTCACATGGCTTCTTTGCTCTCCTCCACCCACTCACTGCACCCCAGGGGAGCCACCAACCTCTGCCTGCGCTGTCACTCTGTCTCTCTCCCTCCGTTTTTGTCTGTCTGCCTCACCCTGGCTCATTATTTCCATCAATCGTTGCCTTCTCCATCCCCGTCCCTCTCTCGTGCCGTGAGGCTGCAGCACCACTCTCAGGGCTGCCGGGAAATGACAGAGGCCACGAACTCATGCTTCAGCACACTCACAAACACCTACATAAAACTGGCGTTTCACATATCGTTGCCACGCTGTCTGGCTTCTCGAACAAAACAGGGGCTTTTTTTAAATAAAAAAAGACTGCTATTGCATCTCAAATTCCTCCTGCCTTTTGCACACCTGTTTAACTGCTTGCTTTTTGACAGGGGGAAAAAAGCTGACACAGTAACAAACACAAACAGGGAAAACAAAACTGTAAGAAACACTGGTTGCTATGTGCTATGTTGGGAAAAGTAGTCTTGGTAGTAAGTTTGCAATTCAATAACACTATCAGAGGGGATAAAGCACACACAATTTCTACAATATCTCATCAATACAACAGCTTTTAAGAAGAAAACACAATAGTTAGAAGACTGAAACACATGCTTTGCACCACTGCCTAGAGACTGTGTAAAGCACCATAAAGTGGAAGAATTTCAATTAGTCTGGACAGAACGCTCTTCAAACAGCACAACCTGGTTAACATCCATCATTAATGAAAGGAAATAAGAACAATCCTGAACACACACTGAAGACAGACTGACTAAGGGTCCTAGTTCTTTTAGGCATGTATTCCTTCAACTAAAATGTTCTTAATAGAAAAAATATTTCTATCAGAGAAAATGCATGGAATCTTTTCCACTATTATTGTGGATGGATCATCAAGCACAGCCACGTTTAAATTATCTTTGATTTGCTTTTGCCCAGTCCACCTTTTCACAGCTTCTTCTGAACCACCAACTCTTTTTTCAATCTATTGGGATATTTCATCTATCCATCCTAATCGTGTTTTCATCTGTTGGATCAAAGTGTTATATTGATGGAATCAATCAAAGCTCTGCAGAGACTTGAACACATTGTTAGGATTGGAGGAACATTTAGTTGGTTTATTTCATATCTATCCAATAGATCAAATGGGTTTCAATTTATTCTTGCAAAAGAATATGTTATGGAGTTCCACAGGGTTCTGTGCTTGGACTGCATTATTTTCACACCCTCGAGGGGAAACTGTTTAGCTATAGAGTGACTCTAAATAGGATTTGCTTAGCTTTTAGAACATTTAATGTTTTTTATGATCTGTTGGAATTTATTGGATTATGATTGTATCACAATGAAGTGGATTGTAGCTAGCTTGAATTTACCTGCATCATTTTAGTATCAGGACATGATGTTTGTTGTGATTTGGCATTTGAAAAAAAAAAAAAGACTCTTAGTAAAGACTTAATAAATATTGGACAGAAAACTCTGAAAGAAAGCCTGACTGGAGTAGCACATTCTGGTTTTTGATCTTCTTTCACCGAACTGGTGGAGCCAATTCTCACAAAAACTTCTAAGACATGGACCTCTTGTACTTCAGCCCTCATATTCAACATATATGGTACACAAAAACATAGGTGCACACGGACACTTTTTTTGCCTCTTTTTCTGCCCCAACTCTTATCACTCTTATTCAGGCGTCTGGCCCGGAAGGAGGAGCAGCCGGTCACAAGCTCCTGTAACCCCCCCACCTCCCCGCCGCAGTATCGATTTGTTTGTTCAGTGCTTGCCCCTCACCCCACCCCAAAGCTCCTCCTCCCCTCCCATCCTCCTTTCTATTCTCCTTCTCAGTGTGAGCGTGTCCTCAAGTGCCTCCCTGGCTTATGTAACAGAGACGGGTCCACAGCATACTGATGAGGGGAATCTGGGCTCTGGGCCCAAAACAAGGACTCCATAGCAGTGCTGATGGGAGTACAGCTCTACTGGCACACAAATATATGGTCCTAAATCCACTACAAGCTTTATCAAAACTTTTACAGTGGAAATGACCAATATGTTTCATCAAGAGTTTTGTACTTACAGATTCCTCAAAACATTCTTTCTTGTCTAGCATCTCTCGGAGTGTCTGAAGGATCTTTATACAGAGCTTTTCCTCTTTTTCCATAAGCTTATTGGTATGTTTGATTAGCCTGGTGGAAGGATGAGAAAGGCATCATGTCTAAATATTTATTTTACTAATGCATTAGTACAATAATGATTTATTTTACATGTACTAATTTATCGGCCATCACGTGTGATATTGTCCTACCAACCTCATCGTGTCTTGATGCCAACATCATACTTACTTGGACATGAAGGCTCCACTCTCACAGCGTAACCGCGCAACCTCTGGAAACAGAAGCTCAGGGCTGTGAAGTACATCCACCAACACAGAAAATTCTGCCTGAACCTTTGGATGGAACTGCTCCTCTAGACAGGACACAACCCCCTGTTTATCACAGAGACAGAAAAAAAACACTGACGCGGACTGATGGGGCTGATGTCCTCATCAAAGTCCTCCTCTTATGACCCTCAACTTTGCTCTTAGCAAATAAAGCTTTAAAGGCATCTAGTGAATCTGGCATTAAACAGGCCTTTTGCTCATGAGCATATTATAACCCTTTCTTATGGGAGTCTTTGCCCACTGAAGATGGGAACAAAGTAGAACACACCTTCTTAACCCCTTCTGAAACGTTTTTCATTCTTAGAAAGCAGTTTGTAACATTCTTAAACAAGTTAGACAATCATACTTTATTACTACTCTCATCATCATTGTCCTTTTCCACTGTGACGTAGTGTTGGTTACCTACCTGAAGTTTATCAATGATGTTTTTGTAGTCGGGGCCACCCAGCGGCTCTTTGCGAGGCCGTGTGCGGGCTGAAATCCTCCAGTCTTTCACTGCCCGCTGCACCATGTTGCTGTGGACCTTGAGAGACAGAGTGTTGACCTGACTGTCCAGATCAACTGGAATGGCTATGGCCCGTGCCTTAGCTGAGGAAGGAACAGACAGTTAGAAGTCATGTCAGGTTCATTCTCTACTTGCACAGCAGATACAGCTAAGTGAAATGAACCTGAGAAAGTGACGATTTCCAGCTGTCATAGACTTAGAAAGATAGACCTATGTATTGTTAGATAAAGATGCCCCTTATATGAATTACCACCATAACGTATTTAAGCTCAAATTGATTCGCTCAGAGTCGAGCTTTCATTTTAAACATACACTTCACATGCACATATGAACATGTTGAAAAGCAGCGGGGAATCTAAACTCACCAACATCGGCCAGTGTTTTGATACAACTCTCAATATTGCCCTTCTGAGCAGAGTTTAACCAAGTGCAGTTGTAGATTCTGAAAATCGACTGGAGCAGCTTGATAAAGACCGACTGGTTATTCTGTGAAATGAAAAGCAAAACCAAGAGATGTATTTCTTAAAGCGTATAAGTGCAGAGAGAAGCAAAATGGGAACACCAATATTGTACTGACAGGGACATAATACAACATTTCAAGCCACCTTAATCAACCGGAAATGGCAGGCTAAGAAATGGTAAAGCAGTGAGAAAGTCTGCTTTTGAATATTTTCACTTTAATTTGCTGCACATTTCATTGGCTGTCGGGGGCGATAATTACCTGAAGATTGGAGTGGTTCACCGAAAAAGGTGAGCTGAAAAAACCCTTTACAATAGCCATTACAGTCTCTGTCACATACTTCTCCAGAAGAAGATCTGCATGGTTGCGGTCTGTTGTAGAGTTGCACACCTTAAACACACACACACACACAAAGCTCTCAATATGCTCATCTGAACAAAACACATAATTTCCATTGTGTGCAGTAAGAGAGAGTGTAGGAAAGACCACTGCCAGTGGTTCAACTGTAACTTCTCAATCTGACAGACACTTACACGAGCCATGTCCACAAGGAAGTTGTCAAAAAGCCTCCAAATGTGGGTGGAGGTGTAAATCTCCTTCATTTCCACCTCCGTGTCCACATAGCAGTGATTCACAAAGTTCACATAGGCGGTTTTCACCTGAGGGGAAAATAAATTATATCTGAAGGGTCGACAAATAGGAAATTAGACACCAGACTGTACTTAAATGAAATGAATAACACCATTTATCTCAACTCAGTTTTTGCATCAGCTAAACTACACTACCTCTGGTATGCAGTGCACATCAGTCACAACTTTAACAATGTCATCGAGTGGTAGCAGCGAGGTGCATATCAGCTCAGTGTTGACATTCTTTCCCTCAGTGCAGGCAGCCAGCAACTCAACAAGTGTATTGTGATAGGCCAGAGCACCATCCTCGTCTCTCCTCTCCCGCTCTGAGCCCATCATCTGCAGCAGCACGGTGAATGATGAGCGGTCATTGTAGAACACCAGCACATCCTCACCGCCGAGCACCAGCTGCACACAGATGACAGGCAAACCCAGATTAGAGTAGAATAAAACCGATTTAGGTGTGAATTTCAATCACTCGAATTTGATGAATATGCAACATTCTTTTCTTCAGTTTATTTTAATAATGAAAATGGTAAATGTCAACATTGGAAAAGTGTTGAAATTAAAGTTGAACTCACGTCTTTCATGACTTTCTCCTGACATTTCTTCACATATTTTGTATCCGCTTTCACTATGGTTTGCAAGAACTTGAGGTACTGAACGTGTCTCCCGTGCGTTTCAATGCAGTGGACAAAATGATGGACCACACGATCACTGATCTCGTTGCACAGCTGGAAGTTGTTCATAAAGATGTGACGCAGGGTCTCAGCTTCCAGTAACTGGTGAAAGACAGGAATCATGATTACTTTGAGAGACTATAAACTTACATATTTTTCCTAAAAAGAAGTCCACATGGCACGGTCATATCAACACACCCCAGGACTGAGAAAAAGGTTCAGATGTTTGTGTAGCAGGACTTGGTTTTGAGGGTTTCCCTTGCAGAAGTTCTGCAGAAACGTGTGAGCCAGAGTCATGATCTCATTCATTTTCTCATCACTCTGGGGGAGAGAGCAAGCAAAAACCCGTAGAAATGATTAGATACCATTCTAAATCTAAATTCAACTGAACTGGGCGAGTTATTTGGAAGGCAAATTAATATTATCCACACTTTCTCGTAGGGAATCTGCAGCAGGTCCAGCACGACAGTGTGTGCTCCCATGTTCTTCAACAGCCTCTGCTGCTGCACACGACTCTTCTTACTCGGATAACACAGCTTACTGAGCCGCTGCAGGATCTAAAGACAGGGCAGATACATTTTTCTAGACATAAATTTGTGAAAAAAGGACGATATTAGAATAGCATCTAAAGACAAGTCACTTACCTCTTTCACTATTTTATAGTTGTTTGCCTTGTTACTGTCAATCTGAGGTTTTATATCCCCATCCTGTACTGGACTCAGAACCACCTCCTGGTTATAAACGTGTTTAAAAATATTTAAAAAAGCAGTTACAAAAAAGCTCCACAGTACTCCAAATGTCAACCCCCAACATGCTGTCTGTTATTAGCGCACAGTGTGGAGAAAAGCAAACTATTACTACTGACAGAAAACGGGAACATGTGACAATGAATCCCATCTTCTATAAGATATTCTCCTCTTCTGTTTTTAATCAAAAAATATCCTACGAACAAACACAGTGTTATGGAGTGTAATGCTAAGCTGACAACAGTTTGCTCTGTGTGCTCTCAAGCAGCTTTTATGACCAATAACAGCACAAGATGTTTACAGAGCAGCAGCATAAATTGTTAATACACATCTCTTGCTGTACAGGCATCAAAGTGAAAGGTTAATTAAATGTGGTTAAGAAAAAAGAAAAAAAGCAACATCTACATGATTCTTAGTTGTAATTTCAACTTAATTTCAAGTGAACACCAAACTGAATAAAAACTGAAAATACAACTACTTATTCTCAGCATTTACAACTGCTAAAGAGTGACCTATACTCTTTCCAATCATTTTGGCGTAGGGCAAATGTCAATCAAAAGGATTTCATGCGTTTGTAAAGGGAGGTTTACGTCAAAAGGGGTTAAACTTGGTAATATAAATTGAGCGGGAACACAGCCTCAGTATTGACACTGAGTCAGCCAGAAGCTGCGGAGTTAAAAGCCTCACCTCGCTGTTCGGTTCTTTGCTCGGCCTGACTCCCAGCTCCTCACTGTTGTAGACTTTACTCTTCTCCACCCACAGCTCTGACTTCTCAACCGTCAGACGCAGCTGGTCCAGGTCTACCTTTATCTGTTTGTAGTTCTCTACATCCTGTTCTGACACGAGGAGCTGGACCTGTAAAACAAAAACACAAAGGAAGAAAAATATATGACATATCAAACAGCTCCGTCTGACAGTACTGCCAGCAAGTTTATGTATGGAGAGTCTTTGGAAAGTCTGTACATTGTAAAATAGGAATAGTTCAACATTTTACAACGGCATCAATTGGTATTTGATAGAAACCGCCAAATCCAATTACACCAACCAGGTTAAAAAAAAACCCTCGACACTGGAACAGCCCAAAGCCAGTAACATTCAGATTAAGTCAATACCTGTTTGAAGGCCTGCAGCACCTCAGCTCTCTGACTGAAATGTTTGAAGATGAGCTGCAGTGATCCAGAGACCAGTGGTGGGTAATCTTGCATAATAAGATGGACAAGAACTCTCAAAAATGTCCGACCGCCCTCATCATCCAGCTCCACGGCGCTTAATTCCGAGCTGCAACGGGTCAAGTGTGATGGTTTACACTTTCAGGCCCCTTTATCTGAACTTTTTTCAAACATCTTCATTGGAAATGTGTACCTACCCTCCTGCAAACATGCCCTCTGCTTTGGCTGCTATTCCATCTATGTCTGGTTCCGAGGCTGAATATAAGATTAAAAAAAAAAAACATTTAGCTGCGGTAAAATCAACCTTGACATTTGCATGAAAAGAGAAAAAAGTCTCACGTGTGAAATAGGGAACATCAGTCGAAGCGATAGAGCTGTCTCCAAACTCTTTCTTGTAGATGGACAATAAGTATGTGATCCTGTAATCCAGCCTCACGCTTAGGATGAACTGTGAGTGGCACCAAAAGTAAACAACACCATTTAGAAACCGAAACCAAACATGAATGTGTGCAGCTAAAATGGGGCCCGTGTCATCCAGCAGTGGGGCTCACCTGCAGGATCTCAATGATCTTCAGCTTGGTGTCCATCACCATCACATCCTCACTGTCCGGCATGAAGTGTCCTTTGGCATAGCGCAGGGAGGGGGCAGGGTCGGGCAGGCTTTGGGGCACACCTCGGCTCATCACCATCTGAGTCATCATCTCTCCCACACCGTGAATGGTTCGCAAGACGTTGTTGCCTAAACACACCAATCACATTCAGATCTCCGTCACAGTGTGCAAGTCCATCTTTCATGTCAACGAACTGCATTTTTAAATTAGTACAAGGAAAAGCAAGGGGAAAATTCAGCTGTTTTCAGCTGCTGAAAGCCTTCTGCACAAGTACAAACAAATCTACATTTTTCATCTATATCAATAAAGTGTTAAAAAATATAAAAAAAATATTTTACCCTTTCTTTATAAGACTGTGAATCATCTTGTATGCATACATATTAACTACAGTTTCTTCTTATTTTGTCTTGTTGTTATAGATTTTTTTTTTATTCATTTCATTAACAGGAATATTCACAGATTATTCACAGTTTGTTAAAGTTTGTGTATGGCCTTTATCCATCATTAGTGAATCCATATTTTCTCTTTACTGACGCACAGGTGGCTCAGCCTTGCCTTTCACATTATTTACAGACTTTGAAACACAAATGAGGCAAAGGTAAAGCGCCGCACTAACCGGCCTCTAGACTTTTGCTCTGTTTGCTCATCAAGATGAGTGGGTGCTGCACAATATCCAGGATGGCCAACAGGGTGCGTGTGAGGCGTAGCAGGTCACTAAAGCTGTAGAAACCAAAGTAAACCAGATTGCGAGCCAGATTCACCACCTGGAGAACAGAAATGAGACATGCACATTTGGTGTCCAAACAAAGGCTGTGGTGATTATGAAAATCAAGTCAACTGTTCCCCTAATGTTGACAAATGATTTGTTCCTCCCTGTAAAACGAATGACCGTGTTACAGAGTAAACCTCACACCAGTTCTAAAGCAAACATATAAAGTAAAGCTAAATGCAGTGATGGGAACATGTGAAACGATACAATTTGTTTTGTTTGACTACAAATTTGCAACAAAAAGTATTTTTGCATTGCACTCAAGTCTATTACAATAATATTGGCAGGTACAAATGCAGTGGTTGGATATTCAAATATGCATACTGAGACAAACTGTTGGCTACTCCAACGCTCTGCTGTTAAACTAATGACTGGACGGTGGAAAAACAAGTCAAAAAGAGAACTAATTAAAGAGTGCAGACAGAAAAGTTGGAATGGAAATAACACATTTTAAATAGCTTCACCCAACTGTGTTAATATAGATAATTATTCATAAGAGTCAGATTCCTGTGACCAGATATGTAAAAACTGTGAGAAGTCCAAACCGGAGCAGAATAAGCTTCTTAGAACATGCAAGTCCAACTGGGAAACTTTACCTCTAGTGTGAGCTCATTTTTTTCTTTATCCCCAAATGGAAAAGGCTGGTTGACCACATCTTTGAGATATTCCTCAACAAACTCCATGGTGGGAGCAAACTTCCTCTTCATGTCCTCTCTTGAGCTGTCTGTTAACTCATATTCAAACCTGCAGCATAAACCAAGGCCCTCATGTCATGTGACGTGAAATCTGCTCAACACAGTTAGCTTATTCAAACTATGTATTGATTTAACTTTATATATAGCTGATACATGTTGTTTTAACTTCCCCTTAACAGTACAAAAATGTACATATCGTGCAGGTTCATCGAGTTGGACCTCACTGTAAGCAACATAAAAGTCCGATCTCACGAGAGGATGCTCACTCATCGATGGTGATCTTGGATGGGATCTCGGTCCAGAGCCGGGCGTAGCGCACAGGAACCACAGACTCTTGTGGGTCGCGGTCCACATGCATATGCAGCATGAGGCGGCAGAACGACGCTCTGAGGTTGTAGGGCAGGAAGTCGTCAAACATGCAGCGCAGGATCAGATCCACGGGCAGCTGAGTGGAGATCTGGTTGATGGCGAGGTACTGGCGGTCCAGACACATTTTGGCGAACAAGTTTAGCTGATACCTGTAGATGAGTTCATGGACAAACATAAGGGGGGGAAATGTGAGAAACAAAATGGTCTCTTCTCTTTATTTCTGCCATTATTGTGTTACAGTGAAACCCAGATTTGAACATGTTAGTTGGGCCTCTGACAAAAAAGCTGCGATCACCTGTAGTAGGTTATGATATCTGCATCCATTTTGTGGCTTTCCTTTGCATCCTGGGCCAGATGGCGGATGGATTTTCCATGAGGTTCCTTGTGGCTGTCGATCCAGTAGAGCCAAACCTCCTCCTCCTCCACCTCCTCCTGCATCAGAGAGGAGTCCAGTGCACTGTCCATGTTGGAAATGAGTCTAGTGGAGAGTAGAGGTGGAGGAAAAGGAAGAGTGTGGGCTGTTTAGCGACCAAAAAAACACAGACCACACAAGGTCAAAGATGGAAGTATAATTTTCGCGGGAGACCAACATATTAAAGGCAATGGCCCTCTCACATGCTGTGGAGAATGTGTGCATGTATAAACATGTTTTTAAAAAATCCACTGAAATATGAGAAGCTTAAAATATAGATAGCACGGGGTGTGACTCACTTGGTCTGGATGAGGATATCTGCGTTGGTGGGGTTCAGCATAAATTTACAGATAAGCTCCTGTGTGACGGGGATGGCAGTCTTGTTGGACACACACAGATCAGACAGATAATCCAGGAATCTGAGGAAGTAGACATGACATGAATTAAACGTTTAAAAACACAAAAAGTTTAAATAAAATAAAAAAGTACAACCCCAATTCCAAATCTACAACAAAAAAAGAATGTATTTATAAATACAATCGAGGAAACATTTATGAGGAGTGGGGGGAAAGAAATATGATATTAAAAATTTGACATTTCACTTATTCATGAAAAGTGAGTTTAACTTGAATGTGACGGTTGGGCCTTTTTTTCCTTTCATAAAAACACATAAGAGAGGTAAAGTAAAACTGTCTTAAACTGTGATGCAATTCTAAATCCATCTCCTTAACTTAAATACAATACAACTAACTATTTTTTTGAATGAGCTAAATGTCTCGATGTCAAAGTTTGACACATTTCCGTGATCTAATGTGAATAAAACCATCACACTTGACCGTATATCATTTTTGTTTTCATTTTATACAATGCCCCAAAAACCATTGGAACTGGTTCGCACATTTCTGTGAGAGCGTATTTCAGCGAGGCACTATGAAATTCAGAGTAAGACAACACCGATAAGAACATTTTAAAATGGCGCCTGTGTTCTAGGGTTGTCTATCGTTTAGGTGGTGTGGATGTTTGACCTGGGTTCTCTGTTGCGCCTCAGCAGGTTGACAAAAGTTTCAATCTCTCTGGCGGTGATGTGTTTTTCCAACAGCTTGCGGTTGTTGTGCAACAGGGCTGTAATTGTATCCTCCGCCAGAATCTCATACCCGATTTGAGACTGCATGATCGCAAACTTTTTGGCAATATACTCCTAAGCAGAAAAGAAAAGCATGTTTATTAGTACACCTGCTGTGCCAAATCTGAAGAAAGACAAAATATTTCTTAGCTTGTAGCACTATTAAGAAAACTAGTTCTAGTCATTCGAGAGCTGTAAGTTTAATATGCAAATTAATCTCAACATGATCAACTAATTGATTAACTATTTAGCCATAAACATATCAGTCACAGGAACACAGTATGATATAATATGATTTATTATGACAATTTTCTTTTAATTTCTGCTAATATGTGTACTTAAAAAGGGACATTTCTGTATATTTCACTTTTCAAATTCTATCCATCTTGCCTGAAACAACACTGTATTTATGGCTAATAGCTAAAAAAAGACTGCAGCAATTCAACAGCATTTAACAAAAGTCTCATGCAGCTGATGTGAAGCTTGAGTCAGAGGCCGACTGGATCCTAAATTGTCTAATATTTGATTGATGCCAGATGTTAACATGCCTCACTCCACAACAGGAACAGGTGAAGCCTGGTGTTGTACCTGGTTCTTGCGATAGTCCTGCTGGGAGTGTCGTAGCACTCTGTAGCAGACACTCAACATGTGCTTGAAGTGAGCATATCGCTGGTCCCCCAAATCCTCCAACCTCAGCATCGGACCATCACCATTATCAGAAAATGGAGCCTTCAGGATCCCAAAAATCTGAAGGAGCACAAACCCACATGCTTTGGTTAGGGGCCATAGCAAAAAAAAAAAAAGAAAGAATCCACTTCTTGAAATGAATCACTTGTAATTAAAATATATAAGACAACATGTTTAACATTTAAGGGTTTAGACTTTTTAATAGTGCTGACCTGGGCAAGGATGCTTTGCTCCCTCATGAGTTTCTGTCTTTCACGATTGGGTGTAGACGTGACCACTTGCAGAACGTTTTGTCCATTGTTTGGCACCACACACACAAAGAATACCAGGTCCTCCAGAAGCTTCGTCACGAATCTGCGGGCAAAAACAGCGAAGTGAAATCGCAACAAAGCGCTCAACTCTGGAGCGCAGCGCCTTCATTCCGACATCTCCGTACCTCCTCTCATACTGGGCGATGTTGCCGTACTGAAGTTTCCTCACGGTAGCCTCCAAGACCTTGCTGGCATCATTAGCAAAGTCCAAGTCTCTGACCTCAGATAGAGGAACTGATACAATGGCAAAAGCCTCTTTGTCCTCCTTTGTGGCACAGGTGCCAATCTAGAGTGAAAACACAGAAAAAAGTGAAAGTAAAGTATCTCTGTTTACCTAATTTGACGTGCGCGCGTTCTGCTGTGAGCAGACCTTGAGCATAACCGGCCGCTCCTCTTCTGCATCAATAGGGACGTTAGTGCTGGTCACCCAGGTGTTGGTGCACAGGTGCCTGAGCCTCACATAGGAGTTTCTGAGAAAGATCGTTTCAGAAAATATCACTTAACATCTTCTTACTGCATTTTTGTTTTTGACAACTGTTCCAGAGACTTCCATCAAATTTTCAAGGGTTACAGTTAGTTTCAATCCTTTTTCAAATCAAACTAAAATATTCAGCTTTTCTTGCTGGGGAAGATATGAATTAAAAACCAAAGAGCAAAGAAGTAGTTGGTTTTGAAATTCACATTTCTGTTTTTGACTCAACTATGTAGCAGATTATCTTAGTTACTATTGTGTGAAAATGAACCGATAGCAGAAGCTGCTTAAACGTGCCCCCTTGGGAGAGACTGACCTGGGCACTAGACAGTCGGCCCGCTGCAGGGTGGTGGCATCCAGCTCAAACAGAGAGGCAATATCATTCCCATGGGGAACAGAAACCAGGGTGAAGGAAATATTCTCTGCTGCAAGATGCTTCTTCTTGGAGTACACAGTATCCGTCTCTTTCTGGAGCACACAGAGGAGGTAGCTGGAGTCTATGTCTGAAAAAGCTGAAATGGCTACAGCATATAGGTATAACAGAATTCACACTACAAAGTTGGTTCTTTACTAATCTAAATGGGTTATTTGCTAATCCCTATACAAACAGTGCATCACATTACATATTCAGATTACATCCAATGAAGTTGCTCATATAGTTTGGTCACACTAAAATGTCAATAAACCAAATGTTGGACTTATTACTTTAATAACTACATGCTTGAGTTTGCTCTGCACACACTGCTCTTCACATAAATTATACACAACAAACTGTATCCTATAAATTCATTCTTAGTTAAATTAACAATAATTCTACAAGACCTGAATAATGAACACAAATATTTCTAATGTCATCCTGCCTCATCTTCCCATGCTTACATTGTAACAAATTAGCTTTATCTGTGATAAACACTGATACTGCAGTGAGATAAAGGAAAGACGGATGTGCGCCAAACCCCTGTCACAGCTTCTTACACTAATGAGCTATCAAATTAAGAAGACGGGCAGAGAGCGATGACTTTTCTGTGCCTGGCGTGGAAAACTGCAGGTACACAGGATGCTGCAGAGTGCAGATGCATCCGATAGCAGCGAGGGTTAATTTCTCCCACTGTTCTCTGCATGTCAATGGGAAGCTCCCCTGAGCTGCCTTCACGCCTCAGCTTCTCCATCCTCCCACTGCCCCCCCCCCCCACCCCCCCCTCTGCTGGTGACTCACCCCACCAGCTTAGCACAGGAGTGGAGCGGAACAGACAGCACGTCTGCCACCCCTCCATCCCCTCTCGCAGGGCACCCCCACACCCAGACGTTATGTAAGGAGCCCCCTGTGTGTCTGAAATTCAGCATGTGCATGGGAAAGTGTGCGCGGCTCAGAGCTCTTGTGTGTGCGTGTGTGTGTGTGTGTGTGTGTGTGTGTGTGTGTGTCTCTTGCCTCGGCAGAATACAAATGTGCCAGGCTGCTACGAGCTGAAAGAAACGTCTGGATTTAGATGCAGAGTTTGGCAGAGTTTGTGTCTGTGTGTGTGTGTGTGTGTGTGTGTGTGCGCGTGCCGAGAGATGCGAGTGTGTGAGGGGGGGCTGAGTGAGAGCTGAACTATTTGTATTGCATAACAAAAGGATGGGGATACAGAGAAGGGCTTTGAATTTATAAATACTGGAAATCATTTCCACCTAAACACTAATGATTACATAATTTTCTAAATAGCTCCTTATTTCTTTTGTTGTCTTTAGTCGAAGACAAACCAGCCTATCTATGGTTTAAAAACGGCCCTCATAAGTCCTGACTGTGCCTTGAACTGTAATAATGAATAAGTTTGAGCTCACGGTTTTGGAAAAGGTGTTTTTTTTGACTGGCTCACCTCTCCTTTGGACTCCGTTACGTTGTCTTTGAATTCTGGGTTCACCTGTAGAGAAATTGAGCAGCAAGGGGCCTCAGATTCTCAGAGCTGTGAAAACAGTCCTGCTGCTATCACTACCAAACTGTTAAGCAGTCAAAAAAAAAAAAAAGCCGAAAGCAGGGAAAACAAAGGGAACACTGCCACCTACAGCACATCAAAAAACCCCTCCACAGCTGTGAAAAGGAGACTTTCTAAAAAAAAAAAAAAAGACACAAGACGAGAGGTAAACAGAGCTCCTGTCTCTCAAACAATCGGCCAGCTCCAGGTGGAAGCGGAGGCCGGCCCGAGCCGGGGGCGGGGTCTCACCTCAGCTGCCAAATAATTTCCAGTCGCCAAGTGTTTGAAGCGAAACAGACTATTCCACTGGCCGGCTCCACCCCTGCAGGGGTCATAGTGGACGACCTGGCATCAAAACACAAAACAAGGAGCATTAAACACATGGAAATATCGCCCTCCATCAACACTTTACGGTGATGTCAACATTTTGCAAAACAGTGGTTCTGTGTTGGCCTCCCACTAGTGGACACTCGGTTTTATTGCACTGTGAAAGGTTTCTGTCACTATGGAACTTTCAATACTACACATGCAACTGAATCCGTTTGGGGAAAAGTTAGACAATCTGATTTAAAGTCAGGTTTATTTTTATAGATTAGATCCAACTAAAGACAGCCAAAGTGCCAACAGCTGGAGTTGTTCATGTCAACTCTATTCCTGAGTCTAGATCTGGAGAGATGATCTAACCAGGGTATGAAGATGTAGAAGTTCAGACGAATATAATAAATACAATCTACATAAAAAACATAAACCTACAAAATATGAATTTATTTCCTGTCTGTGGAATGATTGCAAAACTCAGACACAAATATTTCTGTCATTCTGTCAGACTCGGAGAACGCAAGTTTAACCGGTTTCTTAGTTCATCGATTATAGTTTTAAAGCGGAAATAAATTTGGGTTCATCTGACAAAATGACTCATGGAAAGACTGTGCTAATTAAAAGTAGTATCAAGATTGTCCAGTGTTGAATATGATGTTTGTTAGCAAACAGTGACAAATTAAAAAAAAAATTCAATAAAAGGAGATGCAAGTGATTAAAAGCACTTCATACAGAAACAGAATGTCACCTGGAACACTGGGAAAAAATGTGTGTTGGTCATATTGGCTCAACAACATGTTAGGGACTGATATGGAAAGTAGAGTTTTTTCTGGCACAAACAGCAGAACAGCAACAGGAACTTCACATTTTGTTTTGCTGATAAAGTGAAGCACGCAGATGGTACTAAAAAGTAAGAAACAGGAACGAGGCAACGGACTCACTGCATAAAGGAGAATTTATAGAGAAAATTGGTCAGAATTCACTGTAAATTATTAGAAAGCTGCCATTTGTAGTGTCAAAAAGGACATGGCATTCTTTTCGTTTCACTTTGCACAGAAACTACAGTGGCCCTGAGCTGTGAAATGTGAGGACAAAAAAGAACAACATAATGTTTTAGAACGGGAAGCGGCTCAGAAAACAACAACAAACTCATTTGAATGCTGTACAAGGCCAGGAGAGGAATCAGCTCTCACAAGTTTTTTTTAAAGTGGAACCGACATGAATAACAACCGAAAGCTTACGCTGCCGTGCTTTTAATCAAAAAGCTTTATCTAAAGCTGAAGAAAGTCTCACTGCAGTTTAACAAAGCCTGCAGAGCCACTGACCACACAGCTCAAAAGTCTAAGGACTGAGTGAACAGAGCTGACCGGGGAGGACAACCCGTTTGTGAAAAATGTCTCTTACTCTGCAACTAAAATGCATCTTCTAACTCAATTTGCATTCCTTTTTTTTTTTTAAGAATGTTCACTTAATCGTGTCATGTATGCCTCCTGATGAAATTCTGGATAAACTTTGTCACGATACATTTTATTATTTGTTGCTCCAAACGTCTTTCACGAAATGTGTAGTTTACTCAAAGTCCTCTGTTTAAAATCCTAAAACGCGGTTTTCCTGGTTTAACTGGCATTTAACTAGACACTGACACCTGCTTATGAATGGATCACCATTTCAGAAAGTCCTATAGCACCTACTGGAGCCAAATCAAATCTAACCCCTCAAGTCATCCGTCTCCAGTCAGAAAACGTCTCTGCACAGCCAAAATCTCCTCCTCATTCTGAAAGCCACTCATTTCTCTTGATACCAAATATCATGATATGCCATTGTGCTTTGAGCTTTACCTCGACCTCCCACAGGGCCTTGGAGCTGGTGGCTGAGGTGGCAGACTGCCGCAGGGTGGTCCTGAGAAAGACGCGCAGCTGCTTCTTGTAGTCGTCACAGGTCAGAAACTTCTCCTGCTCGGCGTGGAACAGTCTGACCACGTCTCCCTGACGGGGGACGGTGAAAACGGAATTCAGGAACGCCGGCCGAAAACGGCCGTTTTTCCTCAAAAATCCCGAACGGCCCGAGTTTAAAAAGTAACGAGGCAACGTACTCCCTTCAGAACATCGTCCCTGTAGTCGCTGAACTTCATGAACAGGGTGACTTTCCAGCTGGTGTTACAGTTGACAGCATTCACCTGTGTGCAGAGAAAAAGGGGGTCAAATGCAGCACGAGCTGATAAATGTACACGATGCTGAGAGACACAAAGCAAATGAACCCCTCCCACCTCTTTGCAGCCAGGGTTATCCAGCAGCTCGATGTTACTGGCGTGGAGAGGCTGCCCAGCATTCACTGGCATCAGCACCACCTTGTCTCCGACCACCACCTTACAGCCAAACCAGAGACGGTCACAAACGGAGTCAGATGTGACTGCTCCCGGCAGCTTTCAAACGGATTAAACTCAAAATTAAGAGTGAATCCATGCAAAGGGGTTTGTCAGACACATTTCTTCCTCTTTTCCTTTCCTGCAAAAGGGGTGGTAATGCATCATGCCGGTCCTCACACGGGGAGCAGATAGGCTTATTCATACCGCTGTGAGAGGATATGAATGCAGCACAGACGTGGCCCTTACTGTATCATTTCTTGAGTAACGCATGCTCTCAAACCGGGCCTAATAGAAACTGTAACAGACTCTACAAGGTCAGCAGCTTCGGCAGCCACACGCAGGCACACTGTGGCTGCGGGAACGGGTGGCTCTCAGGGGTTTTCAAGGCAGTGCTGAAGGATTTACTCCTGAAACTGTACGTGCATTTAAACCGGGTGCCATGCTTTTCCGCTGTACTGCGTGTCTGGCCTTCCTCAAAAGAAACAACATGCACAATCAAGAGCAATACCTTCGATCATAGGATGCTAAAGCCAAAAGGAGAAGGACAAAATCAGAGATGTTACTGGAGCAGCGCAGACAGTGGACTGACAGTCCACCGCAGATAGAGAGGAATGCCAAGTGTTTCTGGAGCTCTTCTCTTCTACAGGAAGGCCACCCAAAGCGGAGCGTCACCTACGTTATCGCCCTCACTGCGGAGCTTCCAGAAGGGCTGGATGTAGAACCAGGAGCCCTCGTTCCCCGCCGGGTCCAGAGAAACCCGCATGGCGTTCTTCTCCAGCAGCGCGGGCAGGCGCTTGTTGACGGTCAGGTACTTGTTGCTCTTTATGTGCAGGAGCTGCCACAGAAGAATCACACCCATCACACAGCTGGTTAGGGAAGAGCAACGGTGGAGGGAGGGCATGCTTTGAACCGAGTGAAAGTATTTTAACATACTGGAACAAATCAAAATGATTCAAATATTTAAAAATAAAAAGATAGAAAGCACAATTGGTTTGATATTTGTGCTGAAGCCATTACAATTCACAAAATAGTTGCCAACTGATTTAGTGACAGTTACCATGAATATTTTTGCTATCCTTATTTGTTGCTTACTAACCTATTTATCATCTTATTGTTTCATTTAACCCTTATATCAGAAACACAGCATCATTGTTTATGTACCATTACACTGGATGCTTTCGGTAGTACAGCTCGAGGAACCACGAATGAGAGTTGGTACTCTTTTAAAATCATAACTTCATATTTTCTAATTAACACTCAACAAAGAAGGTGCTGAAAAAGAACTAAGTCTTAAGTCAGCCACTGACATCCCACCGAGGAGGACAATCCCTGATTAAGTCATTTCTCAATATCATGAATGTAAAATGTTGAATTCTTATTCAGTGGATTTAATGCAACTTTATAAATCAATACAAAGTATACATTTTTAAAAAGTAATTATTAATTTCCATCTTGCTGTCAACTGTTACTCTGCATTCTGAAACCTTTGAATGTGACCTAGAAATGTATTTTTCCTCTTAAAGAGCTTGACTGCCTTTACTGGATAGTGAATACTCTACCTTTCTTTGCATACAAACTAAGCTAAGCTTAAACTGAAAAGTGAAAAAATAAGAGGCAAAAAATGTCATCCCATCTAAATATTTCCTGACTAAAGTGGATTTTTTCAGGCGCTCTGCAATAACGAGAAAGAAAGAAAGCCTTGCTGAGATTAATAAAAGCCTCTGTCAACAAGAAAAATGACACCAGCACTCTGTGTTGCAGGAAATCTGACAGCAGATATTTCCAGAGGAGATGCGTCTACCTGAATGACATTACTGTACTTGACAATCTCTCCGAGAAGCTTCTTGTTCTCAGAATCATTCTGCTTCTGCTCCAGTTCTGCTGCGTGCTGAGGGACGGAAACCAAAAAAAACAGTTAAAACCCAGAAAATGCCGGCGACGAAGATCCAGGTTTCGGAATGGTCTGAAAACAGTGTTTCTACCTGTAGCTTTTTAAACAGATCTCCTGGACTATCGTTGTTCGCTTGCTTTCCTTGTTTGGCCTTCCAGAACTGCTTCTGGGCCGAGTATCTGTTCATGGGACACACCTTGAACAGACAATCTGCAGAGGAGAGGAGTTCAGGATCACCGTGAGCTCAGCAGCAAAGTGCCACTGGAGGCCGGTCATATTTACCCAGCAGGTGTCTGCTGAGTCCCTTAAACACACGAGGGCTTTTCCAAAACCCACTGTCTTAGGGCTAAACAACCCGCTGTGGGAGTCTGCCTTTGTGTGCCATCAAAACAGTGACACGTTTTCTTTAAAAGAAACTCACTCACCTCGGAATTTTTTGGGTGGATTGGCGAGGTCTCCGGCATCAGGCTGGACCACACATCTGTCGTCCACAAGCCTGTAGACCAGAGCAGAAACGTAAAAAAACAGCACAGTTTTTGGAGGCTTTTCCACCATGTCGCTCCCCTTGAAAAACAGAGATTTGCTTTATAGTGTGACAAAGCAGTTAAACGCAAATACGTGAAGGCGAGGCGGCGTGTGAACCGACGGCCAGCAGGGCGAAAAGCTGAGACCCGGTCTCTGCTCTCCATCACTTCCATCTGTTTGAGCTCGCCTCTCTGGATGGAGACCATTCTATTTAAGGAGGCTTCGATCTGGGACGTGTGGACAGACGCAGACGGATCTGCTCTGCCATACGTTTGTGTCGAGCTAAGCGAATGAGGACTAATTGGCCTCTGGTTTTACCGTGCGCTGGCAGAGAAAAACTGAAAACAAACAGCAGAACCAGATGTCAGCACTGCGCGTGTGTTTCTGGGAAAGTAAGTCGCTGGAGCGCACACGTGAGGAAAACATGTACTGGGGGGCAATAAGTGGGTGTCTCGCTTGTTTAGAGGTTTCAGAAGTGCTCAGTAGGTCAGATTTATTACCTTTTAACATCGTGAAAAGATCCCAAAGGTGCTACACCTTCCCTTCTCCATGAATGTCTCATAATAAAGTGATCTGTTTGCTTCTTTTTTATTTAAATTAGTAAAATTCAAACAGACAGAATGAATAGCTTTGCATGTCTTGCCATTTAGGAAATGAGGTTTCAGCTTTGAATTACAGTCTCAAATCATTTTAAAGCATATAATGTTTCCATTTTAACACCAGCTATGAATCTTCCTACATATCATCCTGTTCCATCTTTGCCCGGCAGTGTGAGGCACAAGCACGTCCATTCATCCCGTCCACCCAAGAGAAACATAATAGAAACAAACAATTCTTCTAATTCATTCAAAGCAGGCAGAGTTATGTGAGCTGAGCTGTTTTCCTTTTATTTCCTCTTCCAGCACTTCATCAGTGTCAGTCCTTGGGCTCTACACGATTTCTTCCAACTCCATATCAACGTTACATCTAAATTAGAGACAATAGAGCCTAACAGGAAGCATTATTAAGTGCCAAGTGGCTAAACAGGAAGGTGCCCTGGAAAAGTCCCCCATAGCTCATAAATAAGTAACTAAGAGTCCACATGGTCCTGTTGGCAGGATCCAACACTGTTTAAATGAGTTAAACATGAACTACAGATAAATGTACCAGGCCGCACACATCCAAGCTAATAATAGCTGTGGAGCGTGTTGAGAGAACCGACGACAACACAGACAATTCACAGCGTAAAAAAACAGACCAAGCCACTCTTTGCTCTGCCAGGTATTTTCTACAGAAAAAAACAAGGTCTGGCCTAATCTAAAAGGAGCATGGCATCGATTTCAGCAGCATCAGCCATGGCCAGTTTTCAGCTTACGTTTGCACCACAAAACGTAAGCTTTACCACAAGCCTCAGCCAATAAGGGAAGTTTCAGCTAAACTCTGGCCGTGCTCACCATGTAGAGAGTCAGGAAATACTTTTGCAACTGGGCACGTTGTGAGTAATGATAAGAAACTTGTCGGGGCACAGCAACCAAAAAAAAAAAAAAAAAAAAAAAGGCCAACCGCGTGCGGAGAAGGTTTGTAGGAGGAATTTCAGAACGAAGAAGCATCAAGAGGACGTGGGTGGAGCGGGCTGGTTTCTCAGGGCCGTTCCAGCTTTCCACACTGGTTCTGCAGGCTCCGAGGCCACGCTGTTTCCAGAAGTTGCAACTAGACGTTGCACAGTTGCAATTCAAGCTTTTTTTTTTCTTTTCTTTTTATGCGGCTTTCGGTTCAAGAGGATCCACAGGCATGTTTTGTACCTTTTCATTTCTGAGACACCCATAGGAGACCCACCCAGACAGCACGGTGCATCCTTTAGACACACCTACAAGCAGTTCAGCTATCCGTTTGTGTTTGTCGTTAAGAGATGTTCTCACTTCTACTTCAGAACAAGGCAGGTATTCGCCCTCCTCTTTTGGTATGCATTTTCTGCCCCCCACGCCTCAGTGTCAGGTTTTCCTCGCACAGTCTCTGAAAACAGTCCAGAGCCTGAGGCCGGTGACCAGCCCCTAAAACACAGACCTGAGGCCACTGAAAATGATTAGAATCTAAGGAATTTGGATACCATACTGAACTAGCCAAGATCGTGGGGGGTTGAAACTATTCAGGCCTTACACAACCGTGATGATACTGAGGCAGCTTTGGAACACTTTAAAAAGAAGGATTATTCATTTACTCAAATAAACATGCTAATTATTTGCCAGACTGAGAGGGGAAGATGTAGCCTAGCACTACAAGGGGGTCACCAAACTATATATATATTTTTTTATTTGTAAGTGTTTGGATATGTCAGACATAGCCAGGCCAAGATGAACGATGACAGGTCTTTTATTCAGCATCAAACTGATTTTTTTTAAAAAAGTTTTGACTCCAGTCTTACTTTACCCAGGTACTCGCAAAGTTTCATGTTGCGCTCTTCTCTGAGAACCCGCACTTTGTGGGCACCTTTCAGCTGGAAAAGCCGCTCTACTCATGTGTGCCGGGGCGACACGCTGCTTTGCATTCCGGCTACATTTGCGTGCAGGGTTTCCTGAGCCGGAGCGGGTTGCGCGCTGTCAGGCCCGGGCCACGCACGGGCTTTCAGGGTTTTGACGCATATGAGAATTCAGAAAAGCCCTTTTTACCCGTGTCAGCAATAAAGTGGAAGAGACTGAAGGTGGAACCCCCCCCCACCACCACCACCCCCACCCCCGGAGAACCGACACGCGCCCACAGGCGAGGAGAGGAACGTACCCCAAAGTGCTGATGAAGCCATTGACAGAGCCCTCCGCGTAAAGAGACACGATGTCTCCAATGTGAAGAAAACTGGACCTGTGCTCCGACATTCTCACGGACGATGCGTTGCCGATTTGTTCTGCTTTCCCATTTATGAGCGACGGCACTCCTCTCCCTGGGTGAGGAAATCCACGCGTTACGGCGCCGTCACTTCAGCCTTCAGATCCACCGTCATTCTTCCAGTTTCGGACTCCCGTGAGGCGAAAAGAGGCGAAAGTGCAGGGGGGGGACAAAACTGCCAACGATTCGCAAAAGAGTGCACCGTTCTTTCTTTTTAGGAGGGGGACCGGGGGTGGGGGGGTGTTTGGAGAAGAGTTACTCAACTTCTTCCTGTATGTCAGAACGGAGAGCTCTTCTTCTCATCTACTTCAGGGGGAGGAGACTGCTGCTGTCAGGTCTGTGGGCAAATTCCGTTCAAAGACATCTTTTTCTTTTTTTTGGGGGGGGGGGTTCTTACAACGAGCCCGAAGTGGGCCGAATCCGCCAAAGTTCGGAGGGGATCGGTAGATTTAAACACTGGCCTTTTTAGGAAATAATAGAAAACGTTTCAAGGTGTTTCCCTGGAAGAGTAGCCAGCCTCGCTTCCGTGGCTCCACAAACAGTGATTTACTCAGTTATGGGAGGGAGTTGAGAATCAGAAACTAAAAGTTAGGACACAGACACGAGTTGATAGTTCATATATTTTACAGCAGGAAACAGTCGGATGGAAAAAACCGTTGAGGCACTCCCGGAACAAGCTGCGTCCAAAAAGTGTCCCCCCATCATTTGTTTGGTGGATTTCATTTCTCATTAGTCTCGCCGGGATAATCACGGAGGTTTGGCAACACGTGGTCATAATGAGGGCCTGACTGTGTCCTGATTACACAAGTCCACATGGCCATGGCCCCATCAGGGCTCCCGGTCAGTTCAGGAGAGGGAAACCTGACCTCTGAGTCCTTTAGATTTCCACTTTGTGTTTGCAAAAACACAATACACAACCCATCAGCACTATTGGGGACTGAATAAACCAGATTTACTCACATGAGTAGCCCTCACCCTTCGATTTGCCCCTTTTTTTTCCTTTTTTGAAATTGTGATGAGAACATAAAATCCAAAATATTTTGTTATAGTTATTCTGATTTTCTTAAGTATATATGAACATTCTTTTCCTCACCAGATGTTGACCTGTGAAGCAGGAATGTATAAAAGGCACCTAACTCAAGGGGTGAGCCAGCCACATAGCACGCAGCTGATCAAAGAAGGTAACCAAAGACACACCCTTTGCTTACCTTTGTTTAATCTCCAGACACTTTGAAGAAGACTCTGCTTTGCAGCTAGATGACAAATGGTTCGGTGGAGAAATTGTAGGGAAAGCTCATCTTTAGATATCAGGATACTGAACACACGATGTCCAGATTTCGTTCTGTACACTGGGAAGGATTCACTTGAAGCATCATAAAGACAGATCCTCAAGAAGAAATTGATGTTACATTATATGTAATACTTCTATTCCCACAACAGGTGGCGCTCATGGTTAAAGCTCAGCCCTCTGTGCAGCCTGTTTGCACCCAGCTGATAAGTTTACTGCTTCTAAAGGTCATTCAGCTTCTCTTCTGTGTTGAAAACAAGCACACGCCACTCTAGCTTGCTCCATGACTCTTTTTTTATTTTACCCCCCCATTAAGAAGAAGCTACACAGAGACAGCCCGAGAAACAGGCTGATTAATGAAGCAGGTATAAATTATTTCATGTTTTTCCTGCTGGGAATGCCATAAATACAAGTCATAATGATTATATTAAACCTTTAATCTGAAAAAAAATGAGGTCAAACAGTTACATTAAAGACACAGCGTTTCCATTGATTATAAACGAGAAATGAATGAAAAATAGAACTGAAAGCTTTTGTATTCTCTGAGTAAGGTTTGAATCACCCTGTAACATAGAATAGGAGCATGCTTCAGTCTCAGGAGCAGCAAACACCTTAAAGCGGATGCACTTTGGGTTTTAAGGTCCAACAGAAGTGGCGCCAAATACACTGAGATTTAAAGGAAACAAAAAGTGGAATCAGAGAAACAACATTACCTTTGTATTGTCAGTATTAGCAAGTGGGGTTTTATTGATGTTGCACATTTAAGAAAACAGGTCACCCCAAAAAAAAACAAAACAAACAAAACTGTTATATAACATAACAGGCGAAAAGGAACCAATAAAAACTAAATTACTAAACAAAGTAAAAAAGTGACAAGTAGATGAGTAAAAACCATCTAAAAGCACATCTGTGGAGTGCTGGTGGGACTGCAGTGTTCAGTTTTCTGTCCTGTGAGTGTGTGTGTGTGTGTGTGTGTGTGTGTGTGTGTGTGTGTGTGTGTG